ATTCACATAAGTTAAAACGATCATTATGTTACACTAATTATATATATATATATATATATATATATATATATATATATATATATATATATATAACTGATAAAATCAAAGGAAAAGAAAACAACGCTACTAGAGAGCAAAGTGAAGCAAGGTGGATGGAATTTGGTCATGAGTGGGCGTATGATGTAATGTGGGTGGGTGGGTATGTAGGTAAGTGTACGTTACAAAAGGTCACTATGAACTAGAAAACATACATGCATGCATATGCATACGCGCATAAAGCATCGTGTACGTGACACAACAACCGACCACTATTATTGCATTTTTTTTCCGAAATTCAAACAATTGTATACAAATAACAACAACAAAACAATTTTATTATGTCTCAAATACAAATATTCAATCATTCAAAAAGTAGACTGTAAAAATAAAAAAAGTACGTGTGTATATGTAGGTGTAGGTGTATTTCAGTGAAAATGCGTGGGTGAAAAATTTATACATTAGACTGTGACATAAAGAAGAAACATTGCTTTCTCTTGTATCATCATCATCGTCATCCACACATGCATACTTACATAAACCTAAATACATATATATCACACACCTGTATAAACAAGTACACACCGAGCTATCAGAAAAAAACATAGTTAAAATCAGTTACATTGAATAGAAATGTTAATGTATTGGATGTGTTGTAGTAACACAATAATGATAAGGATAATTATTATCAACATTGATAAAAAGGAAAATAAAAGAAATGGATAGGAATAGTAATAAAAACGGAGAAGCAATGAATAAAAAAGGAAAGCAACACAAACTATTTCCTTTCCATTTTTTTACAGATACTAAAAAAATCTATAAAATATTTTATGTTAAAAAGCATTGCAAAAAATAAACAGTGTTGCTAAAATTCACAAACGCAGTTAGGCAGTCAATAACAATCAACACAGAGCCCTACACAAATGTGTGTCAACCCAAGTTACCAGAATACACCAACACGATGAGATGATTAAAAAAAGACTAAAAATAATTCCGGCCTATGCTCCTCCACGAGGAGTAACAGGCGTGATTAAGTAAGCAAGGAATAATTCAGTAACAATGATGACGGAAATCATCTAGCATTAAGTTTAACGTAAAGTGTGGCAAATGAATATGTATTCTATGACTACGTTTTCTGTTTTATATGCTTGCAATTATGTTAAGATTTGAAAACATTGCAAGCTTCGTTTTGGTAATTCAGTCAGTCAGCTACAACGTGGGACCAGGCACATATATGCATCGGTCCAAGTTGCCATACCTCATTAACACAACAAAATGAACACCGGATTCATAAAAGTAGTTAATTCAGAGGTGGTAATATATAAAAGAAAGATTGCATATCAGGATATAGAACAGGAAGAAAGAATTAGTTCGTAGAAAGATATGAAGCGATTTTAATCTTACGGTTTAAGGGAGGACAAAGAGTGTATACACCTACGCCATTGTGATCGATTCTGAGTCATGTCACACAGAGTCTCCAACCATTGGTTACGACAGTCACGCGTACCCCAAACCAGTAGTCTGCGTCTACCAACATGGCTTAGACCAGAAGTTAGTGACTTCAAGGACTGACGCTACGTTTTGGTTTGGCCAACCCTAACTTTCTTCCAACCGTCACCAACACTAATCAGCATTGCATGTCGTGCCAATCGATGTTCAGACATACGTAACACGTGGCCCAACCATGTCAGTCGGTGAAGATTTACAACCTCATCAACTAATTTTCCATCGTTCCCTAATACCCTGTGTCTAACCTCACTATAACTTACCCGGTGATCCCAGCAGATGCGAGCAATATTTCTAAGGCATTTGTGGTCAAATACTAGTAACTTACGAGTATCTTCTACTCTTAATGGCCATGTTTCGCTGCCGTAAGCTAAAACAGAACGGACTGCCGCTCAGTATACTCGTCCTTTTATTGATAGATGGATATCTCGCCTTCGCCATAGATGACGTAAGTTGTCAAAAGCCAAACGAGCTTTTCGAATCCGTGGTAATTATTTTAATAATCGCTTGTTTAAGATTGTTTTGCCCCTATTTTATTGGTTCAGAATTGATTCTCTTTAGTTTCTTATACTAATTAATCTTGTTTTATAATATCAATAGTTTTTATTTTCTGCATTGTGATTCTAACTGATTTCTCTATTCATCTGAATTTTAGTCATCTATTCATTGTTTTTCAAAATAATTCCATCCACTAAAGTTCACACATTTTGAATCATATCGATTTTGTCAAGTATTTTGTATGAAATATTAATGTTGCTTTTTATACTAAAAAGGCATAATACTATGACGTTATATACTGGTGAGTATGTCGTGTCAATCAGGTCAAATTAAAATTAGAAACAAGTATAGTCAATCACTTATCGATTGTGTACCGACCAAATTGCGACACTTTGGATCATCATTGAGCAAGTGATTGAATAAAGTTCGTCATAATTGTTATAACTTTTGGCCTATTAATGTATGACGTAATGATACCGCTAATTAGAGAACAGTGAATTATCGACCGAACCAATGACGCATAAACCTGTACGAGCAGTCTAGAGTCTTTGCCGGTCCTGCTTCCTGCCTAGCCCTGTCTGTTAATTCCAGAACACCAACCTCAGCCTCTGCGATATGAATCATGTATTTCGAATGTACTGTGTTTATATACAAACCAAACAGAACACATCGCACCATAAAATGGAAAATAACATTTGTACAAGATTTAGCCAAATGTTACTGTCAATGTGGAAGAGAGTAATTGATAGACTGAGAATAACTCAAGAATGGTAAATGGTATAATAATAGTTCATAGGTCAAAATAAAGCTTATAATAAGAGGAACACGAATATGAATAGTTTAGTTACTTAACAATTATACGATAAAAATATATGTATAGTTTATTTATTTATTTAAACACATAAATACTAATACAAGGGTGCACTAGATACATATGCGTCACACAAATCAAATGAGATTTGTGTGAGGGCTGTGATACTGCCCGGGTGCCTAAACCGAAGCAAGTGTTTTTCTTAGGAGGCCACACCCGGAGCCTTCGATCTAAAGGTTTGATCCACAAGGCAGTGGAGCAACGTTGGGAGATGCAGTCCCATGGTAGCCGGTGACTGACGGTTGGTTCATATGCCATTTGTTCCTTCAGGACACTGGAGCCCATGTGCACCATTGGTTTGGAATCAGGGTTTTCCAACTCCCCTAGGTGGACTCTCCGTGTCCAGCAACCCGGTCAAAGCACCGGACATTCGCTTTTCGTCCTCTCGATTCCGTAAACAACAGTAATGCCACGAGAAGGCAGTGAGTAGTACTTCCTTGGCAGAGGTTATATATGCGTGGCCATGTGAGAGCATTTCGAGAGGAAGAGTGGACTCCTCCCACTCCCGTCCGTACCAGGGCAACTATACATCAACTTCCTCGACTATGAGAAAGCATTCGACAGTGTAGATAGGAAAGTTTCGTGGGATGTCCCTTAACATTATGGAGTACCTGTCAAGATTGTCACGATCATGCGGAAATCTTACGAAGAATGATATTAGACAATAATTCTTACTCTAGCCTTTGCACTTTCTTCTGGCTGTCGACTGAATTATAAAGACATCCAAATCTCAAGGGGAGCACAGAATGTAGTAGACATCTTGGGCCTAGTTGAGCAATTTGGACCTCGTATATGACCTATACCTTTTCTCTCATACGCACCAACAAGTAAAAATGAAGACAGATAGTAGGGCAGCAACCTCTTCAGCAGTAGGCCTCAATATACACAAGGAAAAAGCAAGATATATCGCAACACAGAGAACAACACAATCACACTTGATGGAGAATCTCTGAAGGAGCTGAAAACTTTTACATACCTGGGAAGCATCGTTGATGAACAAAGGCGATCTGATGCAGACGTAAATGCACAGAATGGCAAAGCGAGAGCAGCATTCCTGCATATGGAACTCAAAACAACTGTCAGTCAACATCAAAGTCAGAAGTTTAAGTGCAAATGTCGAAACAGTTTTATTGTGGGGAGCTGAAACTTGGAGAACTGCTACAACCATCATCAAAAAGTGACAGGTATTTATAAACAGCTGTCTAGGCAAAATACTCTATATCCGTTATCCAGACAACATGAGAAATAACCCACTGTGTCAACGAACAGACCGGCTCCCATGAGAGCAGGAAATTAGGAAGAGACGCTCGATACGAGTAGGTCATGTTGTACGATAATCATCAGACTATATCACGAGTCAAGCACTGGCTTGAAATCCTCGAGGTAAAGTGAAAAGAGGCGGACAAAGGAAAATATTGTGTTGTGAATCGAAGTTAGACATTATAGAAGTGAGTATCACTTGGGAAAAGACTGAGAAAATGAGCTCATGACAGAGTTTGTTAGAGATCTCTGATCTGCACCCCATTCCTCGCTAGAGTTGAATGGCGTAGGTAAGTAAGAATCAATCTTTTCGGTTCTGGTATGAATCACTCGTGGTTTCAAAAATGCCCAAATTCAGAGGGCTATATTTTCTTAGATCATAATTACTGTCACTAATATGGTAGCTAATCTGTTAATCGGCTCGTTTTCATACTGGATAACTGGCTTCATTATTAAGTAGTTAATCACTGGTAATTTTCATCGTCGCTGTTTATCACAAATTACTTGAACTTGAAAATTACCGAACGGAATTCTCTCATTTGCTTTATAGTATTGTAATTACCATAAGAATCAAGTCTTGCTGATTTCAACATTTTGTCGAAAACTTTAATTAATACTGCTACTGAGTATCAAATTTTTGGAAGAAAAATAAAACAACGCTTGATTGTCTCGCTGATTTTCGAATGGTTCTCGAGCTGATATCAACCGATAACGAAAAGAATTTTTAGATTTTAGCAGTTTTATTGTGTCTATTGTTGATCTTTTTCTATAGTTCTGTTTCTTCATTCCTAATTATCTAGGTAATCTCTTTTATTTACTTTTTACATAGATTTCTCAACTCGTGTTATATTACCTGTTATCAACAATGATATAACTTCCAGCTATATTAATGCAAATTATATTAAAGTAAGTCCATATATATATATATATATATATATATATATATATATATATATATATATATATATATATATAGCGTCCTGTTCGTTTTGTACAGATAACTGGCAATAAAATATTCAGTTAACGCTCTTGCTAAAAGAGGGTGTCGATGAACTAACATTATTTTAATACTACTAAACAATTCTTTTCTTCGTAACCTAAGTGGTCCAGAAGCTAAATACTTGCAGCGAGACTAAAGGTCTTGCTTCCGATCCCAGGTGTATAGTCGTGGATGTTTATCTTCATTTTAGTGGGGCAGCGGCTCAGTGATTAAGACGTTTGGGTTTTAGACACTAATTTCTAGTCTCGAATACTACCCCGGCTGTTTCTGTTTGGGCAATCGGGCAGTATTATTAACTCTTACGGTGAGAGTGTGGCTCATATTCGAATGAGTAATGTACCTGGTAAATGAGTTATTTATAAAAATTAAAATTGTTATTATATATTATTATTGCTTTGAGTATATGCATCTGTCATGAACCTTTTTGCTGCTAATTGCATATTATTATAATGTTAATAACTATCGTTTAGCGCAACACGGATCATCATGCTCATTTTCGCCGTTGCGAATGTAGTGAATTCAAAATCAATGGATTTAATTAGTCTGGTGTTATTTGACGACCGATCTATAGCGTTGAGTTGAGATGACTATGTTTGTATTACTGAAATTATTCTGTTTATTTGCAAAAAATTCATAGGAACAATATTCGATAAGCTTATGTCAGTAATATTAATTCTTAGAGGTAAATTTTTAAATATCAGCAAGTGGTTGTGGAGGTTGTTGAATCTTAATGAAATCATGAACCAATCCAATTTTGACCACTATTTGAAAACCTGTAGGCACTAGACGGCCGTTTTATCGTAGTAGTGCACATCGACAAATTTCCACGCGGGAATCGAAGCCTGGACCTCTTGCGCCCACTAGCGATTAGCTTCGAGAATAAATTTCTGAAATTCTAGTGAGAATCCTTGACCAGTGGAGCTTATCTGTGTCGTATGTGAGGCAGTTACCCATCCGAAGACAATTGGAGATGGTCGTACAATGTAGTGGATTGATTGAAGATATACATTAACACCGTTGGATGCTGATTCTGTGGTTTAGAGGTTAAGGATTTACACACGAGACCTACGGTCCAGGGTCCAATTCCCATGTACGGGTTCGTGGATGCGCACTGCTGTAGAGTATCATAATAAGACGGGTTGGCCGTTCAGTGCTCTCAAGTCCCCAATGATGATCTAACATTAATCGGTTCATAATTTAAATCAATTTTTTAAGTGATAATTAGATAAGGTACTATAAAGAAAAAAACATTCGATTGATTTCTAGTTTGACAAAATTCATATAATTTTGGAGCCATGTAAGTTTTTAAGATTTTTGTATAAATTGTGTAATCTATAATGATATTTACATATACCTTGAAACTTTAGCTGATTATTATCTGATTGAGCATTATCCATTTCATGCAAATGGATGAATAATTAAATAATTGTCTATAGTGTACAATTGTCGTTATACCATCTACTGATATCACAGTTGTTTTCACCTTGTATAATTATCTTACTTATGTATAATTTTATTCAAAAGACATTTTTGTTGTCTATTCGGATTATAGTTAAATTATCTACTAATCAATCAATACCGATATCCTTGAGAAATATTTCTGTTATGTGATCTTAATTCTAAGCATTTTATCTTTATAAATTCTCAGTATGCAACCGTTAAATAATTTTGTTCTTATTACTCTCTCGTTCATCCAGTTCATTTAACTTGAACATTATATTCGTAAACTTGATAAAAATTTTAATTGTTGACTAAAAATTTAACACTTTGTCATGTTAAATGTTATTGGTAATTGTCATATAAATATTGTTTTGTTTTCCAAAAATATGTGAAAACCAATGTTGAATGGATGGGTACGAATCAATTTGGACAGGGTTATAAAAGTCGCCCAAATGCATTTATTGCTACTCAAGGTGTTATGCCACATACAATAAATGATTTTTGGCGTATGGTATGGCATTCTCATGCACCGACCATTGTTATGATTACGAAATTAGTTGAAAATAAAGAAGTAAGCTATCTCCTTTATATACAATTCATTCCTTATTATTACTTACATTCATATTCTAGGAAGTAATGGTTTACGTATGTTCACATACCAAAAATATATGCTGTCCATGTGTTGTTCCATATATTTCTAGAGCTTCAAACTGTCAGAATTAGTAATTGCCTCAAATTAGTATCTTCTCACTCGTGAAATCTAAACTGAAGGTCACAAAGCAGTGTAAAGTTGTATTATTAATAGTAGGGTTAAACAAACTGTTGTTTTGAATCCCAATTGAGGATCCTATAACCTATCGAAACCACCGATCAATGTGTATCAAATAACTCAAATGAATTAGTATCAATTTTATATTGTTTCACAATTATTATATGTTCTTCATCTATCTATCTAACCTAAACTAACCAACATTATTTTAAAAATAGTAATGTTAAGTGAAAGTTCTGTTTATGAGTTAGTTGGTAAAGTCCAATGTGTTTACTATGTAACAATAGATTAATTGTGATCAGAATGGGGTTTGTGAAGATTGTAGTAATTTTAATAATTGAATTCATGAGTCGATGTAAGCTAGACCACCATCGAAAACCTGAAAGCACTGGTCGGCCGTTTCGTCCTAATATGGGACTCCCTAACAGTGCGCATCCACGATCCCGCACCCGGGATTCCAACCCAGGACTTTCGGTCTCTCACGCAATTGCTGAACCTCTAGACCACTGAATCAGCATCCAATGGTGTTAATGTCTAACTTCCATCGATCCATGAATGGTTGCTCAACCATTCAACGGTGGTCTACCTTACATCGACTCATGAATTCAACTATTAAAATAAATTATTTTATGTTTTCTAAATTATTATTTGATAATAATGAATACCACACTCCACCTACACACTGCTACTGTCATATAACAATGTTTGTTTGGTTCATGGATGATACCAATATTTTCTATTTAAATGAATGAAAATTGAATCTAGGTGGACCATACATCATCCACGAGCTGTGTGTTTTAAATATTTTTTTATCCACCTACGCATTTCCAGTTATTATTATTCTTTATATAACCGAGTTGAATTTTGTATGTGTGTATGTATGCATGCACTTGACTCGAGTAGATTTTCCTTATTTTTTAAAAATTTTTTATGTCGTCACGTTTCAACTTACATATCGATATATTGTGTCCAATGTTTATTTTGTATGTTATTGCTACCATACGCGATTTGTGTGCAATTTTAAGTTGACGGTTTGTGTGTATGCGCGTATGTGCTGGTGTTGATTTGTGCCCGACTACATATATATAATAGTAGTTATGTTGACTTCTGTCACATAATAAATAAATAAATTCAGTCTTGTTCATTGAAAACTCAATTATTGTATTTTCTCAAAATATCGAATTTTGACGTTAAAGAGATTGACCAAATTAATATTGAACATAACTCAGCAAAAGTTGTTCGTTCATTTACTTGCACATTTTGTGTAACAATTGACTTGTTAATTTTTTGACAGAATTAATCCTACAGTATCAAATGATTATATTTCGGCAAAATGGGATCACCCATAAGCAAAGATGGATAGTGACTAGCAGTGGAATCCAGGATGCGAGTTTTGTCTTATTTGGGACTCGTCAGCTGGATTTAACTGCGCCCCAGAGCTACGGCGTTAAAATCAACTCTAGGATGCAGGTTCATCCAGCTGACGAGTCCCAAATAGGACAAAACTAAAGTCATCATACATATTTGCTTATAATGCTTGTGACCTAATTCAATATCGACGCAATCCGCATAGGATGCATATATGCCGATAAGAGACCAATCAATTGCACTTCTGAATATCAATGAGAAGATTCAAACAAACAATACAAAATGAATTAAAATCATACAAAGATTGATTATTTATATCCTTTTAGAGTTAAAGTTGTTTTAATTCAATTTGAGATAATTTGGATTATCCCGTTGTTGATATTTTTAACAGAAATTTGATCGATATTAGTTGGTATATGTACGTACTGTGTCGATTACCTCGATATAGCAATTATTTCACAAGTTCATGTAGAATAGACAATCCTCACAGGATCAACATATTCGAACTAAGACTGTGCAAATTTCAGTTAAACATATCAACAACCTGACAATACAAACCATTTCAAATTAAATTAAAATCCATAATTGTTGCACAAGTAAGTGGCTATGTGGAATCAGTAGCTAAATGGATAACGTGATGGTATTTGAAGAGGACGGTAGTCAGTTCAAGTGTAAGGATGAACATCAACTCTAAGATGCAGGTACGTGTAGCTAACGAGTTTCAGAAAGAACAAAACATGCATTCTGGATACCGCTACTAGCCACATTCCATCTATTCTATGATGGTATTCTGTTCAGATTAACTGTCTGACAAAGATATCATCGTATCATATCATATAATTACTTTGAGATGAGAATAAATGTCACCAAAGGGGCAGTAATCATTTACATTCAGTTGTTATGTCTAGAAATATATGAGAAAACGATATCATACCTCTAGTGTTAAATTAGTAATTAATGTATTTTGTACAATCATTGACTAGAACTAAATTTTGTTCACTAGGGTTTTCGTCACCTAAGTGTTCTTTTCCGCTCTTTGAGAATAAGCATGCAAGTAATTGTGTTATAAATGTTTTGGATGTCTTATTTAATTAATCTAATGGAATTCAAATTAAAGAATGACACAACTCTCATAAGCAGAGCTGAGTGATGGGTAGCAATAAAATGCAGGACACGCGTTTTGTCCTGTTTGCGACTCAGCGTCTGGATGTACTTTCATCTCTAGTTTGATGTACAGTGTTGGTGTTCAGTTCTTTTTCGCTTATATTGTATTTATGTTGACATTGTAATCTTTAATTTATGTACGGTCAAGTAATGGATAGGCCGATGATATTAAACGAGTTGCGAGTTAGGAACTGAACTATACAATAAAAGTTTGTCTACTTGCTGTGTTTTAGTCCTGTCCTGGCTGTCAGGCAGAATAATGTGGGTAGCTGAGTCCTGGGGCAATAGGTGTTAAGTATTAATTATGGTCTTTATTTTACTGTCATTGGTCAAGAAACGTAATTGCATCTTTCATTGGCTAATACAAGGTCATTGGTCCACTATAGAGCAATCTGGGGGAATTAATCAATTATCGAGCTAGATAATACAACTGCTCTCATAAATAACAGTCCAATCACATCGGCCCCAATATAATGCAGGAACCTGTTCTTTTTCATCCTTACATAAAAGAGAATAGTTATTGTAACTCCCTGATCGTGTTATATTCGGAAATATTGTTGTTGTTACATTCGAACCCCAATGAGAATACAAGTAGTAAACTAATCCAATTGTTAATCATAGCAAAACTATGATTGAAAAGGAAAATATTTAATTTGATGTGGTCAGAAGCAGTCGACGGGAAACCCTACTCAACCTACATTTCAAGCTATTTAGACTAGGTGGTGGGCATACTGCAACCAGACCAATAGAATCCGACCGATACAAAAAAGGACAAGGACAAACATAAGACTGATCATACCATTCTGTAGCGATCGGTCATTTGTGCAAACTTAGTAGATTTTGTCTCTATCAAAAAGAAAATACTTTTCTCATACAATGTAATATAATACGTATTTAATTAAATATGAATCATCCACGTAATTCGAACAGAATGATTACTTCATTCGTTTTTATTTTGTTATAGGTTAAATGTGAGTTATATTTACCTGATTCTTCTGGTGAAGAGGATGTATTATCATTTGTGGAAAGTCAATCATTTACTACTAGTCCATTATTCAAAAGTGATCCATCCGCACCTGATTTCGATGCTATGAATAATAATACTAATACTGCTACTACTACTACTACTACTACCAATAATAATAATAATCCTTTATCAACTGTAAATATTGTTGCAACAAATAGTACACAGATTACAAGTATTTCAACTAATCCATTATTACCAACTTTATCATCACCGTTCTTTTCACAATCTTCAACATTATCATATCATTGTGGGCATTCGAATGATCAGTCCGATATTGATACAGCTAATATTAGCTCACCTATTTCAACTGGTTCTATTATTGCTACTACTGAACCAACTGGAATTCTCCGCAGTGGAATAGATATATCAAAACATTTACACGATAGTGGCATAGCAAGTGTAGATGACCAATCTTCAATAACAGATAATAGTAATGTAATATTTACTAACAATAATTATAAAAATAACAATAACATGACTGATAATCAAAACAGTGGAAAATTATCTAATGATCGAGGTATAAATTTTTATCAATCCATATCATTGCCTGGTACCAGCAAAACATTTGGAAATATAAGTGTTAGTGTGTTGTCGTTGGAAAGACATGATGGATATATAGTACGTCATCTGCGATTAAGTGTAAGCATCATTTTTGGTATATCTAGATTTATGTATATTCATTAAATAAATTCCAGTGTACTTATTAAATAAATATTTGACCTTAATAGTTGAATTCATGAGTCGATGTAAGCTAGACCACCATCGAAAACCTGGAAGCACTGGACGGCCGTTTCGTCCTAGTATGGGACTCCTCAACAATGCCCATCCACGATCACACATGTAGGACTCACATCCAGGACCTTCGGTCTCACACGTGAACGCTTAACCTCTAGACCACTGAGTCAGCGTCCAATGGTGTTAATGTTTAACTTCAATTGATCCATGATCTTGCGCAACCATTCACCCATTGTTTGAGGCATATAACTGTCTCTACCTGACTCGGATTGGACTCCACTGGTCACGACTTCTCACTAAAACTCCAGTAAATCTATCTTGAAGCCAGTCATTCGTGAGCATATGATAATCATTATTAGAACGGGTGTTTGTGGAGGTTGTAGTGATTTTAATAGTTGAGTTCATGAGTCGATGTGCTTCCAGGTTTTCGACGGTGGTCTAGCTTACATCGACTCGTGAATTCCACTATCAAAATTACTACAATCTCCACAAACCCCCATTTCAATAAAATATTTCATCATCTAATATGGTTCATTAACCAAGTACTAGATTATACACTTTGAGTTAATTTTTCTTCGTCTCGACTGTTGCTGCTACCTTGACGTGGTGGTCGGGCTTGCCCATCGTGATGAAGCAACCGAGCTATACTGGTTGGAACAACCGTTCCTCAAGGTCCTATCATGCTAGACAGGTCGGTTGAAGAGCGGTAAGACTAAAAGCAACAAACTCAAGTTCCGAAGGCGAAGTCGTACTGCTGACTGTACAGAGGTGTGACAGCAGTAAGGTGTTTCCTTCAGATAACCAGCGTGACAGCGATGCTGCCTCCCCACGAGGATGGGGTTAGAAAAGGTCGACTCTAAAAATGCACACCTCGCCTTATCTTATAGATATCCGTCTCCGGCGGTAAGGCCTCAACAAGTGTGTGATCGGCCTCAAGCAGTTGTCACTTGGGCACTGTGATCACGCTCTCAGGTCAATAAGACCACCTCTAAACCAATTTCCTTTTTAGGTACCTCCAGAAGAACCCTTTCACGGTGTGGGCAACCGGGAAGTGATAATCGCCCTCATACCTCTAACAGCACTCAAGACCACTGTATTCATAATCAACCTCCCTCTTCAACTTCCTCTTTTGGCTTCTTCCTCAATTGTCACCATAGCCAACGATTCTAGTGCGCAAAACACTGTCCTAAGTCTACTGAAACCTCGCTCCAAACTACACATTAGAGATTCAACGTACGCACCCTATGTCGAATCGGTCAGCAGGCCTCCTTGACTAAAACCCTAGAATTGATGTACGCTGTGTATCCGAAACACGCATACAGGATCTTAGTGTGGTCATTCACTTAACTTCACCTTGCCAAAACGGAGAGCCGGCGAGATTCACTCTCGATGTATCTGGCTACCCGATGGTAGATTCTCGTGGACTGGCAGGTGTAGGCATAGCACTAAGTGCGAGGGCGGAACAAGCACCGTTAGAGTGGATCCCCGTTAACAGTCGTTTATGTGCTGTTCGGCTGAACGGCACCGTAAGTATTTGGAGGGACAGGGACACACGTCGTTGCCTTTTGTCGTCTCCGCTTACGCTCCCACTGACTGCAGCTCAGATGAAGTGAAAGATGAATTTTACAGAAAGCTGTCCGAACTTCTTCAGAAAGCTAAATGTTCAGACATAGTACTCGTAGGAGGTGACTTTAATGCCCAGATAGGTAGCTTAAACCAAACAGAAAGACATTTAGGTGGGTATTTTAGTATTCCGGTCCAGCTAACAGATAATGGTGATCGTCTGCTGCAATTGTGCTCAGACAATTGTTTATTTTTAGCAAACACAAATTTTAAGCATAAGGAGAGACATCGTTTAACATGGCAACCCCCTACACCAAACCAACGATGGACTCAAATAAACCATATTGCCACCAGTCACCGTTGGAGAGGGTCGACAAAAGATTGTCGCTCATTCTAGAATACCTTCTTGGACTTCAATCATGCTCTAATACGGGCACGTGTTTGCTTGCACCTCGCTGGACGCAAAAAAGACCCATTAGAACCGAATCGAGTAACGAGAAAACCAAAAGTAGGTTCCAGGAACAACTGAGGTCACACTTAGGTAGTTCTGGAAACGAGGCTGACCCATATGTTGCTTGGAAAGATATACGAGCAGCTGTGGAAACAGCAGCGACATCTATTAGTGATTTAAACCAAAGGGTTGCGAAAAACCAGTGGATTTCTACTAAGTCTATTGAATTGATAGGTTCTCGTAAACTTATCCCATCTGGCTCCGAACACGATAAAAATCGAAGACAAATCAGATCTAGTTTAACCGGAAGTTAGGTAGAGGATCATGAACAATGGCAAGCAACCAAAGCAAAAGAAATGGAAAAGGCAGCGGCTGTAGGTAACACTAGAAAGCTTTTCAGACTAATAAAAGATACTGGAATTAGGAAGTCAAGTGTAAGTGAGGCGATCTCGGAAAAAGACGACACTCTTATATGCTCTCAGTCCAGACGTTTAAAACGATGAGCGAAACACTTTGAGGAGCAGTTCGGCTGGCCTTCAGCTACTCACCATTTCAACAGTCTGAATAGAACATTGAAATAGGTTTCCTGACTGTAATTGAAGTCCAAATAGCTATAGCTAATCTGAAACGAGGAGGGGCAACTGGTCCAGATGGATTGACTCAAGAGGTCTTTAAGTATGGTGGTCCAGTTTTAGCAGTTAGGTTGACTAATATTTTATCTAAAATCTGGAAGTTGGACGTAATTCTATTTCACTGTTCACAATCATTGATTGTCCCAATACATAAGAAGGGGTCAAAACCACCCTGTGATAACCATAGAGGGATTAGCTTGACTAATATAGCATCTACAATATTAGCCTCGATAATTATCGGACGCTTAACAAAGACTCGTGAACTGTAAACACGAGAAAATCAGGCTGGTTTCAGACCTGGTCGTGGCTGCATCCATCACAAATTCACCATTCGTCAGATCTTAGAACACAGGCATACTTATCGACGTCCGACGATGGTGGTCTTTCTTGACTTGAAAGCAGCATTTGACTCTGTAGACCAACAGGTTCTGTGGCAGTGTCTGTCATTGAAAGGCGTACCCCAGAAGTACATAAACCTTGTAAAGGCTCTTTACTCAAACACTACTAGTCGAGTGAGAGCTTATGGCGAACTGTCATCTAATTTTGCAACCTCAAGTGGTCTCCGTCAAGGCTGTCCACTTTCTCCATTCTTGTTTAACTTCATCATAGACCTACTGATGGAAATAACGTTCTCGTCGACTGAATTATCGGGCATTGATCTCCTTCCAGCAGGTCCACTGATCGACTTAGAATACGCAGATGACATAATCCTGTTTGGTGAAGATGCTGACAAAATGCAGTCTTTTGGTAGCACTAAGCAACAATGCCAGAATGTTTGGAATGCGCTTCTCCCCCCTCTTAATGCAAGTTGTTGTTTTAGGACCGGCATGCGTCAACACGTGAACTAAGGATAGGGAGTGAAGTAGTCGAACGCATCGACAAATTCACTTATAATGAAAGGCTGATCAGTGCTAATGGGTTGGTGTCTGACGAAATCTCCGCATGGATTCATTAAGGTCGTTTAGCTTTTACCAAATTACGTCAACTAAAGTGAAGGGAAGATATCTGTCCATCGATAAAAGGGCGAGTATGCTACTCAGAAGTTTGTTCTGTTCTACTTTACGGCTGCGAATCGTAGCCATCAAGAGTAAGAGATACTCGTAAGTTACTAGTGTTTGATCACGGATGTCTTAGAAATATTGCTCGCATCTGCTGGGATCACCGGGTAAGTTATAGTGAGGTTAGACACAGGGTATTAGGGAACGATGGAAAATTAGTTGATGAGGTTGTAAATCTTCACCGACTGACATGGTTGGGCCACGTGTTACGTATGTCTGAACATCGATTGGCACGACATGCAATGCTGATTAGTGTTGGTGACGGTTGGAAGAAAGTTAGGGTTGGACAAACCAAAACGTAGCGTCAGTCCTTGAAGTCACTAACTTCTGGTCTAAGCCATGTTGGTAGACGCAGACTACTGGTTTGGGGTACGCGTGACTGTCGTAACCAATGGTTGGAGACTCTGTGTGACATGACTCAGAATCGATCACAATGGCGTAGGTGTATACACTCTTTGTCCTCCCTTAAACCGTAAGATTAAAATCGCTTCATATCTTTCTACGAACTAATTCTTTCTTCCTGTTCTATATCCTGATATGCAATCTTTCTTTTATATATTACCACCTCTGAATTAACTACTTTTATGAATCCGGTGTTCATTTTGTTGTGTTAATGAGGTATGGCAACTTGGACCGATGCATATATGTGCCCGGCCTCACGTTGTTGCTGACTGACTGACTGAATGTTTTTAGTATAAAAATACTTGTGACATTATTCCATCGGTTCATCCCAATTTATTAGGTTTAACGTTCGATCTCCAGATCTTATTGTCGAAAGTTGAACAGTTTTTAATTGGCGAACCGCTGAACTACTAATATATAGAACAAAATTAATCTATATGTAGTCTTGAGAGGGACAGCTTGTTTAGACTGTTCCCCTGTTTCTTATATGCACCAGGTAGATCTACCGTACAAATTCTTCAGCAGTATGATTATACATATATATCTAATTTTGTTTTAATCATTAAGAATGGGATTACATAAGGCTAGTTGGACTTATCTTACAGAATAGAGTAAAAGATTTTTTATGGGGTAACATCCATATTTAAAATGAAACATTCGATTTTATCCTCCTAATTGTGTATAGGCGATTATTGTTTTTTTTTGTTTGTATGAACTAGTAACTTGATTATAAATAATAGACTATTATCAATGTCAAAACAATAAATATTTACTGCGAAAATCAATCGGTTCAAATGATAATGAATGTTTAATTGAATGCAGCAATAAAAGGTTAAATAATTTACTATCAAATAATCCAACTATTTAAGCTCATAGTTTGAAGAATAGCTGTATAAAACTCAAACGTTTCGCTTCATCATGATGACACTGATTTTTGATGTTCTAGACATTATAGAATTCTGTGATTTTATTTGTTATCTGATGTTACAATAAAAACTGGTATAAACTTTACTGTAGTTTTCTTTTATTTTATAACTGAAATTCTTCATAGCTCTACTTTAACAGAACTGTATCTTTTGATAGATACTAATCTTGTACATTTATTTATTTATTGCACAACATTTCTCTCTATGCTTTACAGTATTAGTATTTTATTTTTCTGGTACAATTTTGGTGACTTATTATAATAGAACTTATGTGGTATAAGTAAAATCAATTAATTCATAAAAACTAATTCATCCTCTGTTAAGCCTATAATTATAGTGTTTTACTGTGTCTAATAATAATAATGATAATAATAATAATATCTACAAGTAGTCACTAATAATTATCAATAATATGGTGTTCGTTTCATAATTTTTATTAGATTCATTTCATTAAAACCCTTAATATGTGTATTCTAATGATTCACTCAAATCTTGCTATCATGTTGAGTTAGTTTCATCCCAATCGATAATATTTACTAATTAAAACAATCATGAAATTGACAATGATTAATACATCGATTTATGTTTGTTATTCTTTTCTTTCCTAGTAAAAGAAAGAAAGAGACTACCAGTTAAAGAGTGGTTGAAAAGGAAACAAGTTTACGTTTAGAATAGTTGACTGTTTAATGTTTATATACAATAGATGAAATGTGGCTAGTAGCGGTATCCAGAATGCATGTTTTGTTCTTTCTGAAACTCGTTAGCTACACGTACCTGTATCTTAGAGTTGATGTTCATCCCTACACTTGAACTGACTACCGTCCTCTTCAAATACCATCACGTTATCCATTTAGCTACTGATTCCACATAGCCACTTACTTGTGCAACAATTATGGATTTTAATTTAATTTGAAATGGTTTGTATTGTCAGGTTGTTGATATGTTTAACTGAAATTTGCACAGTCTTAGTTCGAATATGTTGATCCTGTGAGGATTGTCTATTCTACATGAACTTGTGAAATAATTGCTATATCGAGGTAATCGACACAGTATGTACGTATACCAATTAAGACTGATCAAACATTTAATATTTGTTGTCAAAAGCCCCCAAATGCCCCGGTACGACCGAAGGTTGGAAGAGTCTGTTCTCCCTCTCGAAGTGCACTCACATAGTCACGTGTATTCAGTCACTGTCTTCTCGTGGTGAGTGTGTTTTTTACTAAATTCAGAGGACACAAAGCTCATTAACCGGGTTGGTGGATTCGGAGGGTCCACCCAGGGGAGTGGGAAAACCCTGATTGCAAAGCATTGATGCACATGGACTCCAGAATCCTGAAGGAACATATGGCGTATGAACCAATCGTTCGGGACAGACTACCATGGGACTGCATCTCTTTACGTTGCTCCAACTTCCTTGTGGATTAAACCTTTGGGTCAAAGGCTCGGGGTGTGGCCCCCTAAGAAAACCACCTACTTTGGCCTGGGCACCCGGGAAGTATCACAGCCCACACACAAATCAAGTGACTTGTGTGGCGCATATGTATTCGGTATCCCTTTGTACCAATATATATGTGTTCTAATAACAACACCAAGGGACCAAAAAAATCAATTTAGTTGAAATGGTCGACATGACTTCTAATAGACTGAATAATTCAAGGAATATGTTTAAACATTATTTTCCATATATTTACTACAGTTTATAGCTGAATTTCAAGAAGTCACTGTATAGACATTAGTTAATTTTAACCATTGTCTCCTTTTTCATCACCGTAAGTTGTATTTTTGTCCTTGAGGAATGAATGTATTGATTTTAATGTAACCCATTTCACGAACATTAATTTACTGTTTAATAAATGAAGAAATCTATTTATTGAGAATGAAGTCTACTGAACTACGTAGATCTTTAATAATACCTACTTTGTGATAAATTGTTTGGAAATTAATTAGAAACCTTGTATAATTCGATTTTTACTTATAGTATTATAGATTTAATGTTTCTTTGTATATCACAGTTGTTCAGTAATGTACGTAGTCATGCTGTTTGTATACTTAGTGATCATCTGATAAATTTTTGCTGAACGTATTTTGTATATGTGTTAAATAGCTATTTCAACTGCATCATGAGTACTGAACACAATTCATATTGTTTACTGATTGCTTCAACATTTTCATTTGTTGCTGTACTTTTGAAAAATTGATACATATCTGATGGCAACACTAAGATAGGTGTCTAACACCCACAGGAATCCAATTTTTAGAAAATCTGGGTTGTCTAGCTGTTTAATTATAGATTATGATTTCTATTATATTGATCAACGTGAATATATAACCATGAAAACATCTCTTAAATAACCATTTGATTTATTGATATTTCGAAAGCTATAAATGAGAGCTGCAAAGCATCTCTAGTTCGATGTCGTTAAAACTAATAAGGTACGGTAATCTTTAAATTTTTACTTATTCCACTTTAGAATTCACAAGCATGGATGATTAACTTAAAAACCTCGTTAAGATTTGATGCACTTTATCTTTCTTACTGATTCCATGAAGTATCATATATTTATTTACCTTATCTGACTAATTGTCAATATATATTTAGTTTTATTTCCTCATAACTTTAACTCATGCTCTGCGGTCATCATTGACACAATGTTGATGAATTTCTATAATAATTATTGTCAATAGCAGTGAGTACAGATCCATCCACACACTAATTATATCAATAGTAAATTTATGTCCATCCATTAGTCCTGGAATTACGTTCACCATATGATTTCACACGGAGTGAAATACAAATCTAAGTGCTAAATTATTGTTTAATATATGTTAAATCGTTAACAGCTTTCAAATATATTGGAAGAATCTTTTACTTAACGATATTCTAATTTTTTTATAGAATATATAAATCATTTGGAAGATAATTTTCGAGGCTACTTGCAAATAATTTCATTTAATTTTTTTTTTACTATATTTTATGTTAATTAAATAAAAGCAATTAAATCTATTGTTTCTAAATGATTTCCTTTATATTTTTAGTGTGGTACAGAAAATAGAGAAGTTATTCATTTCTGGTATGTTGCATGGCCTGATCATTCATCCCCTGAAGCTACCGCTTCTGTACGTAGTTTAATTGAACTTGTACAAGCTGTTGAAACTTGTCGTAAAAATGCTAGTTCATCGTCAAAAGTAAAATCAACGGATAAATCTGAAATCGATTCAAATAATACTGATGAAGATGTAAATTTTACATATTGTAAAAAATCACCAGATTCTCAATGTTTTCATGCTTCATCCTATCGTCCTAAACTAATTCCATCTTTACAAAAAATGGAATTAGATCAGTTGGATCATGAAGATGCACCAATTATTGTACATTGTAGCGCAGGTCTTGGACGTACTGGTTGTTTTATTGCTTTATGTATAGGTTGTGAACAACTTGAAAAAGAAGGTATGGTTGATGTATTAAAAATAGTTAGTCGAATGAGATTAGATCGTGGCGGTATGGTACAAAGTAATGAACAATATGAATTTATTCATCATGTTCTAGCTGCTTATCCATTAAATAAAAAAAACCGTCAATGTGAATCATCCTCATTTACCTGTGATGTAAAACATAGTAGTAGTTAGTTAATGGTTTATTTAATTACATAATAAATTTTGCTTATCATTGTTCCTATATACTTTCATTTAATCAAGTCATATTATGCACTAAATTTCTACTGTGTAAATACTTAAGCTTCCATGCATATACTTTTTTATAGCATTTATTGTTATTAGCTAAATGTTAGCAATTATTCCGAGATTAGAATGCAATATATAATATATATATAACTTGTAAAGATACCTTATAAATAAAACATTATCATTATCAAAGTACTACAGTAAGATTATTGATTAATATTCTATAAAACTGCTCCATTCTACTCGTTATTTACTGTTATTGGTAAAATGAATGACTTCCATTCATCATTAATTGACCATTTACGCTGTGTTTGATTTTATTCATTCAACTATTCGAGTTAAATTAACCAATCTTAAATCAAATGCAAAATTCCACCCACTCCCTATCTGTCTGAATTTGATTGGCTAATATTTGTATGAATAGTAATTATCTATAGTGGATTATACTTTTTCTATACTAATACTATTGCTGCGTATTATTCTTATATGAATAGGAAAGCTAATAAATACTTACCAAAAGATGTACTCGTTATACACGTTTTTATGAATAAAATAAAGTTAACAGAAACTATCTAACCCCTTGACTTTCAGTTATCTTATATTCAATGTAAATTTAGTCAATTATTTTTTATCTGTGAATATGTATACAGTATATATTAGTCTATGAAGTTATTGGATACGAACTTTACTCTTCTTTTTTTATTTTACGTCTATAATATTCAAAACGTATCAAATACAAAATTATTATAATTTAATGTTTATTTATAAAATTGTTTGTCTTATTATCAAAATAAGAAATTGAAATTTTTCTTGAAAGACATCTTAAATCTTCTGTTTAAAACTTAGCAATGAATGTTGCTTTTATATTTTGTGAATAGAAATTATTTCAAATTTTGTGTATTATTTATTATCCAGAATATATATACTACAATGGACTAATGAAGTCCTATGAATACTAAGCTACTCCATCAGATTGATTAATAAAACTCAGTTGTATTTGAGAACTTAGTCTTATTCTCCAATGTGTTTGGCAATTGTTAATTATTTATTCTCCCTGATTCTTCTCTCTTCACTCATCACTAAACATTTTTTCCCTTCTCCCTGATTAAAGTAAACCCACACACTCTTCGTATGATAATTTAATAGTTACATAAGTATTAGTTGGTGTGTACAGATTATGTAAAAAAAATGCCAGGCAATTTGTAGTAACAAAGGAATTTTTTCTAACAAAATTTATTCATTTGATTTCCTATGATGGTTACACAAATCCACATGATGTAATTTGTTTTATTTCGCTACCAGTTCGTTTAATTCACGTGTTCATTAATCGATTGGAATACACAATATATCTATGGGAAAAATGTGACGTTTTTTGCCACATCTTACGTTTCATCACACTTTAAGAAATGTTTATATTCATTATTTTACATTTGTTTGTCATGGTGTGAGTAATTAAACATACACACATATATACATATGCATAAATATATATACGTACATAAAAATGAGCAAATTATTATTAACACTGTCTCTGATAATAATATTTAATTATTTCTATTTTTTATATGACTTATTCTTAAGGAGAGATTTATTTGTTAGAATAATAGAAAAACAAGAGTAATTTTCACTTTTCATCTCATTCATAGCTGCTGTGTGCTGCGCATTTTGTTTTATCTTTTATCTACTTGTTTTTTTTGGCGTTTTCATTTTTTGCCGGTCTCTCCCGTTTTATTTTTACTATACGGTTGTTTCTGTTTTTTTTGTTTCGTGTTCTTTCTCCCTGATTTCGTGGTTCTGTTCTTAAAATAATAAACAAGGAAAGAAGAAACTGGAAGCACAAAATAAGTGGGAGATAAAACAAAAACATTAGATTTATCATTGATATTGAAATTTGTCTTTCAATTTGATCTTTTTTTAGTTGTTTTGATATAATCGATTACTTGAAGGAGGGTGAGAAAGGTGATAGTCGTATATAATTGTTGTCTAAGTTACCTTGAGCAACTTAGATTTACAAAAAATGAGTTCACTCTTCAAGGCTTACTTCTTATCACGTGTAGATTAATTAAATCATTTGACCACAAATAAAAATGGCCATAAAGCGAAAACAAACTGTTAGATTATGATTTTTTTACCAGCCAAGTGATGGAAAAGTTCGAAATAATTTAATTCTATGTGATTATCAATAAATTGTAAATGTTGTTGTTCATTTTGTTTTCTTACGTAATATATTACTGATGCACACATAAAAGCATTCATATGACCCACTAAACTAACTTGATCGGTTAACCAATTTCAATAATGTCATACGTAAGTTAATGAGTATAGACGTGTTTAAATATTAGAGAGTATAGGTTGTGGGTTGTAATAAGTTCATATGAAGTGTTTCATTGAACATTGAAGTTCTTGGGAGCAGTTATTCGTTAGTTTCAACTGTTCCTAATCAAAAAGTCCTTTTCTAAATTGACCATGATTATTATAATTACTGAGTAAAATTGATTCATTTATTAACAATGTAATCACCTAGATAATGATGAGATATTTTACAGAATTAGTTCCGAAGTGAACAAGCTGATTGAAATTTTAAAACCGATTGGATCTATGTAAATTTACCAGAAAATCAATAGGATATTATTGATCCCCCACCCAATAGATGATCAAGTTGTGGGACGTATTGGCCGACTTTCCAGTAAATGTACTAATGAAATTGATGATTCACAAAGTTTTTGTTTATCATACTGTTATATTTCTCTCTCACGTTTATAACCCAGCTATTCCTATTGCTTAGTATTCTTGGACACCAAATCACTCGACAAAACCCCAAATCAGAACACGGTTGAACAGGAAAGAGATTATATTCCAAATAACAAGGTTAGATGGAAGGAAGAAGAACAAGAGGAAAAACGTTAGTATATTTATAGCTTTTACATGAGGAGATTCTAGAGTATTCTCCAAGTATCGACTAGTGCTGACTGGATAAGAATTAGCCAATCAGCGTGCACCAAAGCAATCGTGCGTTGAGCATGCTTTAATCCAGTCTGTGTCCCGCTACAACATATACTTTTTAATTATTTGGAAACGTCACTCGGAGTATTGAATGGAATTAAGTTACCACTTCTGCGTTTGTCTCAAATCCATTAGCAAGCTTAAGAGCCATCTTCAAATAATAATGATGATTCGTCGTATAGATCTATTGTCACTTAGTATTGTTTGTCGATAAACATCTCCCAAACTATTTGGCTTCAGAGGTTAGTGATTTTTTCTAGATGTTTTTACAGACTTTCATGTCCAGGATTTATGTTGAAGAAGAATTTCACTGGACCTAATCCGGATGTTTTTTGATTGTGACGATCAATAAAATCCTTTCAAGGTTTCCGAATTCTTCTGATTAACAGATATTTGTCATGGAAACCAGATGCTTCTATAGGCTTAACGTAGTTTAACAGTGGGAATACTTTTGCATCAGTTTTCCTACTTACACTCATCTACAAGTATTAAGACTTTATGAATCAAGTCTCAGAGTATTCTCTGTAAAAATCAAAGAATAGTTCGTTGCACTTCGCTGTTTATTGAAAATAATACACAATCTTCAACTTTAATTCGTGCAAATGGGTTGTTCGGATCCTCCGTTGATGTTTAGGACTACAATTAATCATCCTCTTAACATATTTGCATCCTGCCGGATCGCCTTTATATTGCTAGTAAGTCAAGCATTTTAAGCAAAGATGGTGGCTAGCGGTGGAGTCCAGGAGGCGCGCTTCGCTCCATTTGGGACTTTTCAGCTGGGTGCTCCCACGCCGCAAAGTTGATGTGAAATCCGGGACTAAACCAGTACCGTCCACTTCAAATGTCCTGGAGTGAGCACTAAGCTTGATGTGCTGATGTATCCGGCTGACGAGTCCCAAATAAGACGAAATACACGTTCTGGATTCCACTGTTAGTGACTATCGATCTTTGCTTGAAAACCCACAATCTCTAATAAAATAGGCGTTTTTGTATTGAATTCAAAGATCAGCACAATGAAGCAAACTAAAATTCTATCTACTTTTATATTCGTATTATTAAAAATTTCCTGTAGTTGATGCCCATCGCTACGAATATTTTTAACAAGACAATTCATGATTCCGTAAGAGCCACAAAAGAAAAAGTGGTTTTAATGACAATAAATTCATTCCGAGTCTCACTGAATATTTACTTAGTTATTTTTCCAACATAACAAAAGAAAACAATGAGACTGGATTGGAACACGTAATCGAACCTCAATTACACGAGGGCTATTGTATTATCTAGATAGAGAATTGATTATTTTCCTAGAATGTCTATATTGGACCCATGACATTCTGTTAACCAATAAACACGATGATAGTGAGATAGAAATATTGATCGGCTATAGGTGAACGATGTAGTTCTTCTACGCTTGCTGTCTCGAAATCCAGAATAGAACACAGCACAACAAGTAAATAACTTCTAATTGTATGGTTCCGAATATTTAGCCTTGATTTTTACCCAGTCATAGTAGTTCTACTTGACTCTTGTTGTGCATATAACAAAGTCACAGTTAAACTAACCAAATATAATAAATTTTCGAAAGTTGCTTTGCCAGAACAAAGAAGAAAAAATCTTGTGGTGAGAGATGTATAAACTTATTCTTACCAGATTATTGCAACATCAAAACCTTTGTGACGAATGAAATTACACTTTTTATTGTGATCGAACAAGTTCCACATATCAACAGTATTATCCAGAACAACACATCTTCCTATAGAGTTTTATTGAGAAAGTTTGAAGTGTCATATTGATTTGTTGTAGAAAACTATTTTAGCGACTTGTATACATGAATGTTAGGCAATATCACTACATATTGACGTTAGACACCGGGAAAACCAATAACTACGGGCTTGAATTTGAAATGCCTAAATGACGATCAAATGTACACTGAAAGTGTCTGTATTAGATTGGCCATTCAAAGGCTTGTAATACAGTAAACTGGAGATATACTGGAAACAATCGCTATTACATTGAGACCTGTAAAATGTAAAGCAACTAATCAGCAGTAGTATTTTGCTTAAAATTACCTTCCAATGTGATGAAAATTGTTAACCCAAAGATAATACTTTACATATTTACTTATATACGTCTGATACTCCTCCTGGATAAGCGTGTGCCGCCCACCAAGAATATTCATCAAAATCTATCATGGTGAATCCTCTTCATTAGCTTTCAGATACTATTCATACTTTTGGTATCCAACGTTGATTACCAGTGTAAAAGTTACCCCTGTTTGCCTCTTTCCCGCTTCTCTTGATTCCAAGATAGGGCGTGACTCTATGCAGTTTGATTTTCATACAGTGCCACCGATCGTCTCGAGTGTCTCCCTAATTTTCTGCTCATATGAAAGCCTGTCTGTTCGCTGACACAATGGGTTCTTCCTCATGATGTCTGGCTAATGGATATGGAGAGTTCCTTCTGAATAGCTGTTTATAAAAACCTGTCACTTTTTTCATGTTGGTTGTAATAGTTTTCCATGTTTCATCTCCCCACAATAAAGCTTTCAACGTTCTTATTAAAAATTCTGACTTTGGAATGCGTTTACGAGCTGTCTTCTAGACACAACTTCGCATTTCAGTCACTCGTAAGATTTCCACATGATGGTGATAGTCTCGTCAGATACTCCATAATGTTAAGGGAGATTCCACGAAACCTTCCTATCTACACTGTTGAATGCTTTCTCGTAGTTGAAGAGGCTGATGTATAGTGGCGAGCTTCATTCAATCGGTTGCTTGGCGATGATCCGAAGTGTCACAACTCGGTCGGCACATGGTCGATCCATACGAAACTCGTTTTGTTGATCTTAAGGTTGGGTGTCCATTGAATTTTTTCGTTTGGTCTCGCAACACTGTTGGAAACTCTCTTGTACTGATAGTATTGTGATGCATCCGTAATTCTCGCACTCGATCAAATTTCCCTTCTTTGGTATTCTGTTCAGGTACCCTTCTGTCTGGTTTGTTGGTATTTATTCTTCCTCCTAAATCTTTTTCAAGAGAACGTAATGCACCATTTTCTTCTGCGGTAGGAACTTTTCAATTATTAAAACAAAACCATGTCTATTCAATTTCTTCAGCAAATTGCGGACCCTAAAAATAATTGGCTCTTCGTATAACTTAGTAACACTTACGGTGCATAATGAAAATCACTCATTTTATCTGTTCAGTAGTAATCTATATGTGTAACAAACATTCCTCGTCTGTTAGTCTGTCTTTGTAGCATTCACATTTATATTCTGTGGCGTTGGTCATCGCCGAATCATGCATTCTCCATTTTGTTACTGTATCGTTCTCACTACTCAGATAAGCCTCGTGAGATACTTACTCCCGTACAAGTGATCCTTCCTTCTTTCTGAAGTGCGGTCCAACGAAGCTCATGTGACGTTTGGCATCTGTTCAGATGTTTGTAATTGTTGTAGCATGTTAGCTCGTCTAAAGAATACACGAGTGGTGTTAACTCGTAGTCAGGAGTGCATACGCACCGTTTCTGTTGTCTGAGCATTGTTGTTTATAAATCACTCAAATTGTGCTGATACACGTTTCATATAACCACTTGTGTCTAGTGAGACACTTATCTAAGGTGAAAGATTCCGTTACTAAATACAAAGTTGTTCCGTAAACAATTCTGATGGCTACCGTCCGATATGTTTTCTAATATGTGATCTTATACCTAGCATAACTGTTTTGCACCTATCTGGTGTGAGGGACCTACTAAAATTTCTGTTTGTTTTATTTTGCACTCGGTTGTTTATTGAAGCTGCTCTACTCAAGAGCACTTCAATGTCTTCTGCTCACCTGTTCCACTGCTCATGAATCTCAGTGACTGAGTCACCTTCTGTGTGCTTTAATGGCTACTCTGCTAGTTTCTTCCTCATTTCGTATATTTATCTCATATTGTCTTCTCTTGCATCGCTTTTCAATGTCGTTTCTAGGTCTTCTACTTGTTTCCAAATAACATATCCTCATGCTACACTTCATCATCAAGTTTTCTTCCATCTATTCGACCTGTGCGTGAGTGTTTACTAAAGACTGCTTGTGTTGTCTTACCTATCATTTGTTTAGCACAGGGGTAATATAATACAAGTCGATATTTTGATTGCCGATTTTGTCATCTGATAATGGACAGGTTCAAATATAACAATCACCAGTTTATTGACCTAACATAATTTTTCAGCGTATATCTATTTAGGCACTCCGTTGTTTTCAAAAAACGCTAGATAGTTGAAAGTCCCATAGTTTGTGCTTTTATTGTACAATAGGCTTCTCCATTAAGCTCTAAACCTGGGCATCATTTGTTCTTTTAAGAATCGCTTTTGGTCCGAAGAAGTTAGCCGTATCACTTGAAATATTCGCAAATAAAACTACAAACTCGATTCCTGTGTAATCCGATTAATCACATATGGTTAGACGAGTAGTTACTTACACCTAGTTAACTCGAAATCTTCACCGGGAACTTCAGACTATATTAATTTTTTCACACTGAGTTCGATTTAACGTCGCGACAGTAATAAAAACTTTGTTTTGATTAGATTTCAATTTGTTTAGTGGTATCTGTGTAGTCTTCACTTAACAAACTACTAGTTGTTCTAACAGACATACCATCGTCATAATTGAATGAATGCTCCCGCGTTCACGGTTGTTGACATTCTCTTAGTGTTACATGTCGAAAGTGAATCTTCTCAATAATTATGTGTTCGACTTCGGACTTCGCGTGGTTAGGAAACAATACTACTACAGTATCATTCGCTTTCCAGCCCAAGTGTGTGCTAGACGTCATATTGCTGATTGACACGTATGATGAGTCACTGTAGAAATTAATTTGAATTTCACGTAAGATTTGTGGAGTAAGTGGTCGCATCATGAAATATCTGCAATTTCGAGGTTAGTTTTGTTGTCATATTAGCAAAGATAAATGTACTAAAACCAAATTAGACCGTAATTAAACAGTATTACGAAATACTAATGATTACAATAGGTCTGGAATTTCGAGAAAATATCTGCCTGTCAAACAAAAGACGAGTTCGCTTGTTAGCAGCCTACATTGATGCACTTTATGGTGTGCAATGTAATGAGTAAGAATGGAGCATATTCGCGGGTCACTGTAATTCGATCCTAGAGGTATTTGAAACATCGCTCGTGCATTTTGGTGACACTGAAGAGGAACTAGTGGAGTAAGGCATGGGACACCAAGTAATAATTGTAAATTGGTAGGTGAGATAGAGTATTCTAGTCAACTTATTTGAACTTTGTATTACGTATCCCACTCCACCAACTATCCTGATGCGCAACGATGGCCAACGGAGGCGTAGATTTTAGAAGAGCTACAAGCGACCAAAGCAAAACATGTAATCTGTCCATCAGCATACCCGTTTTTGAGCTGATCTGCGTACAGCCTAGTTCTCGAAATCTCGTACAATTTTTCTCCTTTTTACTTGCAATTTTTTGTACTTCTGTTGATTCTACTATTGAACTCATTACTGTGGGATATGTCATGATCTGTGGTAATTTGAACCGGAAGATATTTGTTAGTTTCTTCGTTGCATGTGACCATCGACTAGTTGAAACGTATCTTTGTAATTTGCTCGTATTTGTTAATCACATTTTAATGGAATTTCTAGATCATCATGGCGGATATAAATAAATCCAGATTAATTCTTACGTGTTTTATTCTGAGGTATACTAAATACAGCTGTTTTGTCGATTAAACTCCCTCATAATTTGATCCTGTTTACTTCAAATATATATCCCAATAAATCTCAATGCCAAGTATATATATATATATATATATATATATATATATATATATTCAGGGGCATTTGTGCCCGAGTTCTAATTGAAACTGAAGATGCGACAGGTATTCAGAGTTTGACAACGTGTTAACCAGTAACACCTAATATGAATCGTACCCACCAAGTGAAATCGAACTTCCTCGCTTCTGTATTTTGAAGATATATTTGATGGACTATCAATATATCGAGAATCGTCTGACCTAATTGGGCAAGCGATTGAAGCAGGTGTTGAGCACAGAGTTCCCACTCGTGATCTAGTGCGGATGCATGACCGAGCGCCTTCAGTTAGGTGAATCCATTAAAACTAATGTGGTCAGCATCCAATGTCGAAAACTTAACGAGGTATTTATTTGGGGGATTTATTTACCGCCACAAAACAATTCGTCCCAGGTCATCGGGTTACAGATAACGAATCTCATATAAACTTAAAAAATGGCGAAACATAGTGTTGAGGATTGTTGTAACTAAATATGAATCCAGTTTACATGCATTTCTGGCCTACCTTTTGCATGAGAGTGTCAAGCCGTGAGTCATTTATGGAGTCTTACAGGGTAACCAACAGCGAGATTCACAAGCAATGGCAGGAGGATGTACAATATGTAATTTAACGTAAGCGATAAATCTATAAGAGTTAAAGTAAAACGTAAGCAAACAGAATATCGACTTATACGTACAATAATGCGTCCATATGAACACTCTGTACAAAGTACAACTAAATAAAGAAAAGATAAATGGTCAGTAACAATCCCGTGAAAACTCTCAAGTTTATGATTTATAACAGAGATAACAAGTAAACACAAAGGACACAAAAGTATTGAACAGCTGTGATCATACTCCCAGTTAGTGAAAACAGAAGGAGTGGTGGTTAAGAAAGGTCAACCTGCTGCATTTTAAGTGGTGATTAACACATAACGAACCAGAAATTTACTATCAATATTTCTTAGCTTCCTATTTATACCCAGGAATAGTGATCCGAGAAAGGAGTAATCCAGGATTACATTATTAGCGTGTGAGAGTTGACTTTTTTTTATCAAACTATGAACGTTTGGAATCTTCTATTGTAGTGCTTACTGTCTGCTGACGCCTTCAAAGTTTGATTTAACTTTCACAATTCTACGAAATTTGATGGTCAAATTTTACATGATCTTCAACACTTACCATAGAAGCAACCGAGAATCCAAATTACTTTGATTGCTTTGGAGGAGTTATTGACATTATCTTTAGTTTCAATGGCGTAGGAGTAGGCAACTTTAGGTTTTATTACTCGATCATCTTATTAATTATTTATTGTTTTGTTCCTCATGTTCTGAGGTAATCAAATATACTGAGTATCTTTCTGTAATGAAGGGACATTTCGTTAATTGAGACACGTGCTTTAAATACAAAATGTCTGTCATTTTTCTGCCCAACGAAGTTTGAACAGAATGCGTTTAAACCAGTCAAAATGGTTTACTTTGTATCAGGGTTAGTAGCGGGTTAATCAGCTTGATTTTCTGTAACTGCGTGTTTATGTTTCAAATATGAGTGTTATACAATCATCGAACCATCAAATTAACTGTACTCCTCGTAGTGAAGAAGTTTTCTCATTCGCGGAAGAAAATGGCCGCCCCAAAGAAAGATGGACACCTCTCGGTGCAAACGCAAGTCCTGAACCTGGTTATCATGCGTTTGAAGAGAATCACATAGATAATGAATTTGACCATGAGTCTGAATTATCCCGCCTAGCCATAGAAAATGAACACCTCAACAGTTTGTTGATGGCTTTTACTTCTCACATCGCTCAGGTAATTTTCCAACAAATGTGTTATGCTAACTTCTGAGTACGACTCCTATATGTGTAAGAGGAGTTTTATTTGGAAGTTATAGAGTTTTCGTCATTGTTTCAACATTTGTATTTTGTAGGTAAAGAGAATATTATTTAATAAGTGAATCTTGTTTTTACTATCCACCAAATGTCTTCTCCTCAGGTTTTGAGTCAAGATATTGTTGTTAGTAATCTACACTACCGACGATTTATTTCTTTTTAACATGGCCATCGATAAGATTTGAGGCAGTCCTTCAACGGTTTAAGCAATTGAATTTCAACCATCTGGCCACAATTTTAAACTTCGCTTACCAATATTAGGTTAGGACAATCGAGTAGTATCAGTCTTCAGTAACAAGGATAGTAAGTCAGTTAGCATTTGTTAGTTCTCTCGGCTTTTTTCCATAGAAGATCCAGCTTATTGTAAGTATCTGCTCTTTGAGGCCGTTACCAAATGTTCGCGTAGTGTGTCCCAGTCATTAATTACTAGATGAGTAGAACAGAATTCCACTGAGTTTATTTGTTCACGGTTTGTAATTCTTCTTGTAACGGCCTAATAGATGTTTATTTCTGGAAAGAAAAATGAGACTTGCTAAAATCTAAATGATTAAAATATACAATACTAATATAAAGTCACTTCGCGTTCTACGATGAAATAAAAACGTATGGTTTTATTCTCTACACTTATGTTATTGCTCGAACCTAAGTGCATAGATCTCTACCTGGTTAATGATTTGCTAACATCTGGGAATTTGGGACTCTGAAATCAATCAGGTAGTCACGCATAACTTTCTTATTTTTTAGCGCTGCATCTAGGTAGAGGCTATTCGTTTATCTCATTTAAAATGTTCAGGGAGGTAGTGACAATTAGGTAAGCTCGAAGATAGCTTTGGGCACAACCGTATGCTATTAGATGAATGGACAAAATTCTAGCTTAACCGGAAAATTAGTTTATTATAGCTTCAGTCTTTTCACACAGTCTCTAATAAATTCGAAAGTGATCCAAACAAGAACCGGTAATTCTCACGCAAAACACAAAATTGCCTAGATAAAAAGTTCAAGTCCAATGTTAAATATTGTTGTGTGCTTTAGCAGGAAACTATGACACAAAATTGCTGAAGCCAAGATTAAGGCAGATGTTTAGTGATCATATAAGGTCGAAATTCTTGAATACCACAAAGTTCAGTTTTATAGATGTAAGAACCAGTTTCCTAGATGAGCAAACATCCTACTCACGTCAAATATCTATGTCACTTCGAGTTCAACCCGTTAATTTATCGTACATTCATTAAAAAACATCCCTCGTCGCTAAGACAAATAGTCTTTTTAAGAATTTTGAACATGAGCTCTAGTTTATAAATATTTCCTCTTTTTCGAGATGTTCTACTGGTTCTTAAGAGAAAGTGACATTTGTATGTTCATTTCAAAACTTTTTTGTTTCTCTTATACCTGCGAATCCGTTCACTACTAGATCATTTAGTTATTTGATCGCTTGGTATTTAATATGGGTTGTGCAACATTGATTTAAAAATCTGTATCTATTTTGACAGGATTGTTCTTTGGTGAGATATTATCAGCATTCTGGAAAGTAGCTTTAAGTTTGTATGTAAACAAAAAACACAAAGTATATATTTTAATGACACCATGGATATTGGCTACATTGTTCTTGGCAAGGGGTTACAGCAAGTGTATCATAGCTGAACTTCACGGTGAAAAATCTTTATTCTCACTGCAGGAAAACGTTTGAAAATATTCATTTAACGTCTTCTAGATTTAGAAGGAGCCGTTTAGTAAACATAAATTTAATCATTTGTGATTACTTTTTTCATCGTCTTTACCTAGCTTATGTATTTTTCCATCATTGTCTGTGGATTAAGATTTTATGTATTCATATCAGTTTGATTTATAATATATGAAATATCTATGTTACATTTTTATTGAATGGAAAGTTATTTACAAATCTACTGAAAAAAATCTAACTTTTGGCACTGAAGGTCTTTTGATTAAATCTATGATTTTTGCATGGTGCTAGTCAATAATTGACCATCTTCATGCTGGGTATATCATTACAAGCCACTGTAAAAATGACATATATTCTTATTTTACAGGTGCAATTTCGTCTAGGGCAAGTAATAAATGCTGAGTCTGATTGCAGAGATCTCATGCTTAAGTCTCTCGAGGAATTTGCCTCCAGAGGAATCCCTGACCTACAATCACTGGCGGAACAATGCAGTAAAGTTAGTTCTTTGGTCGATTTTAAGTCATTTTATATTTTTTGGTAAACCCGAATTTGGGAGCATCATAAAATTGTACGTATACGTCTGCACTTTGGAGATGAGAATAGTTTATTTATTTGACATTTGGCCTATGACTGCGAGACATTTAGATGTCGTATAAAATGAAAGTTATGTTACTTGACTTAACTTTAAACGTTAGTGAAAATCCTTCTGAGTGCTGATAGAAAAAAGGTATTTCGGTAATCTTCAAATACTGAGAGTAGTTCAAAGCATCGCATCAGCAAATATTCATCGCTATTACCATTAATTTGTTAAGTTCTGATGGTTTCATCTTTTATGACATTAGTGATTTATTTTTATTTTTATTTTTACTTAGCTATTACACGTTATGAACAATAAATATGATAGGATTATAAAAGCTTTTGTGACTCACATTGCATTGATGGTATTCGCTGAATATTTTAAAATCTCCCTTTAAAAAGCACTTTGACAGTTTATGCTGAATTGTGCTGAGATTTTTTCACTCTACGTGAATCGTTTTGAACTCCAGTCACACATGAGTTATCACACAACAGACGTAATTTTCATGAAGCGAGTAATACAAAAAATGCTGTTTTCACATTTTTGTTATTGCTGCTATCAATGCTTTTAGAAATGTTGTTCATTACAGCATTACTATTCTAAATGCCATTCACACGTCAAAAGTTATTATTAAACTTTATTTCACGAAACTTGTAGAAGCTCTAAAAGACTGGGAGTCAGCTGATAAAGTTTGGTTGATATTATTTGGACGCACGGCTACTTTGAGATTGAATCCTCACTTAGATCAAGGAGAGCTTCATAGTTTTAATCCCGAATATAACTCGATAAGCAAATCTATATAAAATATTTTAATTTCTTGATAATGTTTTTGAATAGTTAACCATATCTATAGGTTGTTATTCGATGTTTTTAAAGACTTTTATTTTGATAATGGGTACATATATATATATATGTCTGTACATTTAGTTATCTTCAGAATCCCAAGCATGTACTCCAAGTTTAGATGGACGACCTCAGAAAATGATTGAACAGCTGAAAAGACATCTTGATGACCTAGAAAGATTCGCTTATGAGGTAATCTTTTGTTGTTCTAAGAACAACCATTTCTTACAATTATGCTTCTGATGTTCTCAGTAGTTTTAACATCAACATTATTTCCTCTTTTATGTCTGAAATCCATTGATTCATATTCTGCTTAGCAATCTAAATGGTTCTTAAGTATTTGAAGTTTAAGTGCTGCCGTTAAAATGAACTTCCTTTGTATTGCATAGTAATACTAAGTCCTTTTGTCCGAATAATTTAGTATTCATAATCGCTATGGGTTTGAAAAAACTTACGTTCTGTTTCTTTACTCGTATGATCGGTGAATTTTGATCAACACACCTCTTTTCCTTTTCAAATTCAACTTTTGTGGTAACTTGACTTCTTTGAGTGTTATTCATATTTTGTTAATTGACTTAATAAGTACTTATTAGTGTGAATTAATGAGTTGTAGCATCAGATAAAAGTATTCTGTAAATCGTATTCAATATCATATATTAACACGAAGCATGCACGCAAGCCAACTAAGTAAGTATCTGATATAAAATTTAAAAACGATTGTGTTAAAATGTTATTCTTGTCTTAATATGTCAGGGAATTCTAGGTTACTCAGAAAAGTACAGATATCTGTAGTTGAAGATTTGACACTCCATCCTATAATTTACCTATATCAATTCATCTATCTACAAACTGCCCAGTACTGGTGAGTAATAATTCAATAACATACTGATGAAAATACTTAAAGTGAATCTAACCTTAACGAATTTCCAAGGGTTTCCATATTAAGCAAGTATTGGTTAAATGAAGTAATAACTAGTTAGTTTGGTTTTATTTAGAGGAAATTCGACTGAAAATACCAGTCAACGATTGCATTCATTGAACTTTGACTCTTGACAATCGATATTTAATTATGCTACTTAGATAAACGTAATTTGACATATAATCTGTTCGTACTAGCTATGATAGTTTTATGACTATTACTAATATAAGATATCTAATTGAAGTTCCAACCGTTACCACTACCTTGACGTGGTGGTTGAGTTTGCCTATCCTAGTGAATCATTCGAGCTATATTGGCTGGAACAATCGTTCCTCAGGGTTCTACAGGGAGATCGGTTGGAGAATGATAACACTAAAAGCAGAAGACCCAAGGTCTGAGGGCGAAGTCGTACTGCTGACTGTATAGAGGTGTATCGGCAGTATGGTGCTTCCCTCAGACAACCAACATAACAGCGATGCTGCCTTCCCACAAGGTGGGGTGGGGTTAGAAGAGGTCGACCATTAAAAATGCACACCTCACCAACGTAAGAATGTATCGTCACTAGACTCGATTCCCACGACTATCACGTTAAACGTCATTTAACTTATGACGTAAGTTAATTTATCATTTTATACATAACCTCTTAACTGAATAAATATTCGTCTTAGTAAGTTCTGGCTTCGAATATTTATTTGCCTAATAATATACATGAGAGAAAGTTTACTGATTTCTTGAAAACGTTAAGTTGCGTCTTGTTTAACTCACGGATTCAAAAGAAATTTAAAGTACTTTACTTTAATATTTCACTGTATTGTTACTTCGTTTATACTAAATTTAACAGTAATATACTATTAAAATTCAATATTTAGCTTACGATTATGATTAAGTTAAATGAGAAATATTTTAACATCTTTCAAGTTTTACAATATTTTTTTTCTCAATACGATTGTCTTTTTAATGAATTAGTTGCCTAAAACTTAATTTATAGTAGACAATAATTTCTAAACTTCTTTTATTAATAAATAAATTTAATCCCCTGCATAAAACATAAAACGATTTCACTGGTTGAAATCATGAGTCAATTGAAGCTAGACCACCATGGAAAACCTGGAAACACTGGACGGCCGTTTCGTCCTAGTATGGGACTCCTCAGCAGTGCGCATACACGATCCCGCCCCCCCGCGAGATTCGAACCCAGGACCTATCAGTCTCGCACCAGGTGCTTAACCAACTAATCCACTGAGCCGGCATCCAACGGTGTTAATGTCTAACTTCAATCAATCTCCACAAAACCCATTCTGATAATAAAACGATTTATTTTCATTTTTTATAATAAGAATAACATCTCCATTCATTCATTTATTTTATTCATCTAGAAAATTCATTCATCAAGTTTTATTTACAATTTCATTGGTTATTTTCATTCATTGATTTTTACCTTACGTTTCATTTATTTGTAAATATAGATATTTCCATAACGCCTACGCATTTATAGTTTACTTTCTAAATTTCCTACAAGTATTATACTAATTCATTTCATGTTCGTTTTTCCTACAACCGATCTCATCTATTTGATAATAATCGATAATACGATTATCCTTGTTTAATTTATCACAAAACAAAAGATTTGAGTATTATGAATCTTAACTATTAATCAATGAGTAGTATTTAAGAATAACCATCAGATATTTTATTCTTAATCTAATCTCATATGAGTTCACTTGATTTTTCTTTTAATTACCTAAATAGATAAGTGATGATGAATAAATTCATCTTGTTAACTGATTATAAACGATTACCATTATGAACAAGAATAAATTAAGTTTAGAAAAGTAGTGTTGTTCACTTCTTATGTAAAATAGCTTATAACAACTTGGATTTTTATGAAACATAAAACAGTTGAACATCATATGGTTCATTCTCAATTGTTTTATCTGTTTACTGTTTTATTCCCTTTTACCTTCTGCTATGTAACAGTTTTAAAAGTGTGTTTATATTTCAATTCAAACAAAACATTTTATCCATTATTATAAAACAAACTATCACTGGAGTTTCAGGTACATAGAACCTCTTTAATATATAGAGACAAATGTAAAAGTTTTTCGTTTTGTTTCCGAAATTTAAGATCTATTTATTGCGATTCTCTTCACGGAAAGTATATTTCCAAAGATGCTTCCGAAATATATGTCATGTGGCTGCATTTGAAGACTGAAATCCATATAAAGGACAACTTGGACAGATTCAAGTTACTGTTGGGCAAAAATAGGCAATCAACAAAATCAGCAAATTGACTGAAGTTTGAACAATTAAACAACTATATTCTGACTCATTCAGTGAGCGGTATTGTGGGATTTACTACAGTGTAAACATGTGATCTTCAACCTGTGATTACAGTTACATTTGGAATTGCAAACTAGGTTGAGATAAATACTCTGTGCTGGTTTATTTTGAGTGGTTTATGAATTACCGGTGGTTAAAATTAAATTATCTTACTGTTTAAAAATACTTACTAGCAAAGAAAAGACTTTTATAACACAATGGTTTTAAATTTTATATAGTGATTATGATTTTATACTCCGCTTAACAAGATATTTGTCAAATAACAAAAGGACAATACATATACAAACGAAGAAGTATAGCAGGATAAAAGATATTTATAATATTTATAATAATAGAAGGATACTTTAGGAAACGATCGAAAAGTTCTTTTATGTTACACAGTTTCTTGAGTCTGTAGAAATTTTTGGGAATTCTCACTAAGGTCGCTTCAAATTTTGTGGTCTTCTCCAGTATCAACGGAAATTTTATCGGTTTATTTATAAAGTTCATTGGATCGCCTCAAACTATACAAATTTAATGTAAATTTTAGGAGTTCCCCTAGAGTCATTGGAAATTTTAACCAGAAACTTCAAACCAATGGAAACTTTATATTGTTTTGTCGCATTTCCCATAAATGTCCAAAAGGGTTTTAGTAAGGTTTCCCATAAATTTCCAGGAAATCGGTCCAATTTCTGCAAAGTTGTGAATTTGGACTTTTATCTTTTATGTGACGTTACTGTATGTGGAGAAGTAAAAAGAAAAAAAACCTGACTAATTCTGGACTTTATTTAATAATTGTTTCAATGATCGTTTGAGCCATTTAACTTTAATTTATATCTCACTAAGAATTTGACGATGAGAAATCCAGTTCAGTTGATTTTTACACTTCTCTATTTACAATTAATATCGGCGAAATCCTTGATATCAGAGCATTTCAAAACACCTTACGTCAAAACGACTATACTTCCAGGCATATTCGGTTGCTATGTGAAGGTATCCACTACTTCTGGACTTGTGTATTTCGGTCTCAAGAGCAAAACAAAGTTTCGGATTATTTTTCATTATTTTATATATTGGAGTGTTCATTACACTCCAACAGTGATAACAGAACTTTCAGTCATAACAGCCTTAAATGTATCGTAACACTACTAATATCCATTCGAGTACTTTTCAAGAGATAATAGTTGGAGCACGCACTTAAATTAACAAAAGTTAGTTTTATTTTAATCTCTTTAGACGTAGGAATAAATAGTAGAGAGAAGAAAACAATTTATACTAGTGTTTAAGGAAGAATTTATTAATGGTCAAAAATGAATTGTATTCTTTACAGAACAGTAGACATCAGCCCTCGTTGACCCTCGTAAACAACCATAAATACCTATTTGATTACCTAAATAAATTCAATTTGTAGTCATACATCTTTCTCAGTTATTCAAATACTTAGTTAACACTCAAATACCTTTTAAGTGGGCTTATTTAAAGTTAATATAATTTCAAAATAATTCATCCTTGGTTACATTTGGGCGTAATTCTTGAAACTGTAAATAAGAATAACAATCCACTGTAATTCTGTTACACAGCTGAAACAAATCAGATGTAGTGATTTTTCTACAAATGAATTTTTTGTGAGTTCGTTTAATTTTACTTTATTACTTCTGGTCGACAAAACAACAACTCAAGATTCTTTTGATGAATATTCTACACTTGTATTTAGGATTAATATTCATTACTTCTTTTAACAACTAATAAAGATCTATTAAATCCCGTAAAATTATTTCCAGATTTCACTTTTGACTACTCGTTGGATGATTAGTAAGTAGCACCCAACCTTTGTAATTTTATATAAGAGTATGCGAATATAGTTCCCATTCGTTTCATCTAACAAAATCAATTGTTGTTATTTTCTTCTGTATGTGAGTTACTTTGTGTTAATAAGAATGAGCTATTTTAGTGGTTCTTTTTGAGAGAAAAGTTTCTAATAGCGAAGTTGTTAGTCATGGCAAGAATGTAAGGAGCACACGGAATTCCAGTTGCAGCTATACAGAAACAGTTTCTAATAATTCTAAAATGTCTTTTTAAATTGTGAACTTTAATGACTTTTCGTTATTGATCACCAATATCATCCGGTAGTTATTGTTCGGTAAATTTTCAGATGAAAATTAAAGTTCTGATAATGATACTAAAATGCGGAAAATTATTTTTTTGTATAAAGATTATTTTGTTTGCTTATCTAAATCAATATTATTTAATGTATTATTCCTGTTGCTTTGTCTTCTTGAAGACTGGTGAGCAAAGTGAACCGCCAACTCAGGCTATCTTAGAGAAGCAGCGTTTAGTACTAGAAGGCCTACGAGAGAAACTTGAATTGAATATTTCCAATGTGGATAAACTCCCAGCTGCTGAACTGCAACAAGTTGTAGACAAGGCTGTCAATCAAGTGAGTTCGATGATCATCTATCAATTATTTCGTAATGAAATGTTTTTGGAATTATTATTCCAAACATACAATTTAACGTGAAAAAAAATAACAGAAAAAATAATTGAACTCATTTTATTTTAACAACAAAAGCTGGTGTTAATCTAGTGGAATATTTTATTATCAAACTTTAGATATTTTAATATCTACAAACAGTTCGAAATTTATTTTTTTTATAACCAATAGTATTTACCAGTAGAAAATAGTCACAGTTTTAAGGACAACTCACAGAATTCACAACCTTATTTTCCAACAATAAAGACGTTACTAGTCAGCTGCTCAGATTATAACTACATAATGTCTATCTTAGTTATGTAAAGGTGACGAACCGACCATATTTTGAATTCTTAAATCTTATCCGAATATAGAAAACCTGCTAATATTGATTGAAGGATTTAAAAATGGAAGTTGTAAATGTGGATAAATATTATTAACTAACTAGAATTTTATGAAAATGTTTATCAGGTTATTTCATATATAGATCAGCAGTCAGTAATTTAATTAGTTAACTTGTTGAAAAGATTTATCAAGTTAATCATATATGATATCAGGCTAAAACCTCAATCTCATTTATATTAATATTTAAAAAAGCATTTTCAAAGTTCTAAATTCAAGTCAAACCTAATGACATTGGGAAGAAAAGTCGTAGTGTATTCAGTTTTGTGGAGATTGTTTATTTTGTAGTGTCAAATACCTGGAAACGTAGCACTTTACCCGGTTACGTTTGGGATGTTTTTGGAAGCATTCATTGTCTCAAAACATTTGTTATTTAGGCGCGTGTTTAAAAATCTGATTAAAAGATATATACGACGCATCTTAAAAGTAGATAATCGTTAAAATTTACCAAACTACTTCCAGTAATCTGTATTGTTTCTTTCATCAGATCGCTTTAAGTTGAACTTCCAAAACCCCAGTCAGTTGTTATTTTATGTAAATCGTAGGAATAATTCACCTATTTTTCTTGTATCAACTTACTGCGACATTACATTAACAGTTTTTCCTTTTCAATTCAGTTTTTAAATCCAGTAAAAGTTAACGAAAAACTTGTGGAACAGTTGAAAACTCAAGTGAATGATTTAGAACGGTTTATTGATTTTCTTCACGGTAAGCTATAAGACGTTTCTTTATTGTTTCATTTACCTAAATTTTGGTTTTTTTAGTCATAGAAGTGTTATATAAAGAATTTGTGCCTGAAAAATGCCAGTTTATTTCCCACTAGTTTGCTTGAATCTGACCTATTAGTTTTTTAGTACCCTTTAGTCATACATATTGATGTGAACAAAGCACCGCAACTGTAGAAAATAACTAACTATTTGATAGTTACACACTATAACTGCAACTAATCTACTGGTTTACTTGATCCAACCACTTTCCATATCGTTAATTGCGTCTATCAGTCTCCTTGGATAAAAACCCAGAGAGCATCGATTTTCTACCGATTATCTTTAAGCGTCTTGAACCTTGTGTTTGAGATAAGTTGACTACAGAGTATTGGCAAAAATACTGAAATATTCTTATAATCGCAAATCTACCATACGGTTGTCATATTCTGACGATTCAACTATAATACCAGGCAGGAGCATCTTTGATTCATTTTTCAATGTATGGCTTTATCTAGATATATTTCAGGTTCATATGAAGGCATTTCACGAAAGTTATGAACTCATATCTTCAGAAAGCTTCTTTATGTTCAACTTTGAGGCGAAGAAATTATTGGTTCGTTAATGATTTAGTCGTAACAACATCATTCATAAAGCACATAATTTGATGAAATTCCATCCATCAGTAATTTCTAAATTGTCGAAAGATGTACACAAGTCTATTCAAAACTGTTTCTGTATTACTATTTTTCTATACTTTCTGCAACTACAAATTTTTTTTGTTTGAGTTAACTTGTGATGTAAACTACGAATATTTAACAATCTTAACAAATCCCTATACTGATATTAGCGATTGCGTCGAGATTTGTCAAGTGATTTATTTGAAATAACATTTTTTTAAAGAACTTATTTCAATTAGGGCACTTATAGAGTGTAAAATGACTCAAAACAGTGGCAACACTACTATGTATTATCAAGTGAAAAAGTGTTTATTTACTCGTTTGAGGGAAACAATAACTGGATTATGTACATGATAATATTCCTTTTTAGTGTACTAACAGGCATTTTATTCTTATTTTTTACTGAAACTTGGGTTGAGTTTCACTACACTAAAGGAAATGCGATAGATTTTTTGGCGGATATTTTCTTGATTACTTTTTACTTTTTATCTGATGATGTGTATTACTGTCAGACAACTGTGCCAAGTTGCTCACACTGACACAATCAACCAGTTGTTCTTGGCTAATGGCCAACAAAAATCATGTTACATTAATAGTGCTGTTGCTTTTATTTTTATGGTATAAGTAAATAATATAGCATGTTTAAACATGAATCTTTTATTTTGTAATAAAATATAGATCAACTGATACATTTAAATATTGCAAGCAAAAAGTTAACTAGTTTTTCGTAGTCATTGGAAAAGTTTGTATAATATATGTGGTCAGTATATACTTTTTTTTGTCAAACATGAGGACCAATTCACATCTAACTTGTATGGAATTAACTATATAGAACAGGAAATCTACTTATCGATTAAAGTCAGTTGGCATGTTCAGAGATGTATCTGGCTTATAATTTTGTGTACAACTATTTTTGAAACTTTCTTAACCTTAATTAACTCTTGGGGACTAAAAAATGGAGTATTGAAGTATTGTGACACTGAAATATACTGCATAAATAACTATACCTGTATGGAGAAATGGTAGAGTTAATCATCTTAACGACCTGTAACTTACATTGAATATGCTAAGTCATCCTGCTTCCATTTCAAAGTTATGGTTCTAGCCTGCATCATTTTCTTGCTTCATAACATATAAACTCGTATAATTCAGAACACCGTAACAGAAACAATAATAGCACAAACGCGACGTGAATATGTACGTCTTTTTTGTAAATATCTTTATCTATCGACACGCGTTTGAGTCGTAGGATGAACATCAGAACTGGTATATCGGCAAATCCAGCTGACGAGTCATAAATAGGGAAAACACACTTCTTGGATTTCAGTGCTAGCCACAATCCAACGTTTCTAACAACAAAACCAAGTGCCTTTACTGAGATAATCCATACAGAATAAAAGTACATGTCAACATATAATGATGAAAATTCAGTCCTGAATATCAGCATCAGGACAATTCGAACATTTGCTGATAGTTAAGGAAAGAAGTTTGTTTATAATTAGTTGTACAGAAGAACTTAACAATTTTATTAAGGATTGTATAACAATGATAATTATAACTTATCCTTTAGATAAATTAAGTGGAAATCACGTAGACATTTCACTGGAAAGATAACTTGTTAAGCCATTATAAATTATTTTTATTATTAGGCTCAATGAAATATCCCGATACAATAACTGAATAATTAACTTTGAATAGACAAATTAATAAAAATAAAAAGACTAGTTAAAATTTCATTCATTAAAGAAAAGTCGAACTTGAACAACTTTTAATCTGAATTACTACTAAATCGTTTATTTCCGAAAATGAATTTCTTCATAGAATTTGATTGTCTGCACATAATTTATTCTGACTTTCATTATATTAACGAATAAGTTAAGTAAGTGAATATAAATTTATCGTATATAAATACACGGTTCAAAACGTAAGAATATTTGGTGAAAATATGAAAATCTATCCTATTTTTAACCTAAGCATGGTTTAAACCATCTACTGTGCTAAGTCATTTTACTGCTTTTAGAATTTATCTTCAAAACAATCTTAGTTGATCATGTTTCAGTTGAAACAATGTAACCTTAAGAAATCAATTAAGCGTAAAAAATATCACTTGAATTGCTCACTTACGCTCAACAATTTAAATGAACAGCTAGGATTACAGCTATTTTGAAGAACTAACAAAAAAAACGAATCTATGTTAATCTATCCAACAGTAAAATCAAAGGATTAATAAAGCAGTTCACAGTCCTATAAGATCATTTAGGCAGTTTGAAATGTTTTATGTAGTAACTAGTGATCATAGGTTCTTGCTATTTTAGATGTCATTTAATTTTGATGCTTCAAGATATGACAAAACATTTATCTAGTTGGACATAACTGTAGACTGATAGTGCATTAACAAGTGGAAAAAACCATTTACTTGGCACGTTTTTATACTGACTTTGTCTTCATCTTTTTATAAGAATCGATTTAATTATGAAGTAAATCACAAGTACCTTCACGTATGGTAATAAAACTTTATGCGGGTGAGTAGTTATTTAAGGTTATTCTAGGGAATCATATTATTGTCAGTACCTAAACGTGTGTATGCATGTAAGTATACTGTGTTACCGTATTCAGTGCTGATCACCCAGGTGTCGACCACTTTTTAACTGATAATGGGAAATAAAAGTTTTTAAATATATATATCATACTCCAGAGCCTTTTCGTATGATTACTACTGATTGATTTTTGGTTTCTTATTCAATTTCTTTTAACAATATTATTTACGAGACCTTCTAATTCTCCATATATGTACTTTGGCTGAGATCAGTTTGTTTGTTTCCTATCTTACATTTTGTGTGATAGAGGCTGTTAATTTTAACACCTACCTGCATTCACTTGGTTGTGTCATTACAACTCACTTTTGTGTGAACATTTGACCAATTATACTTTAAGTGAAATCAATTTCTAATAATTTAGTAACCCACTGACCTTCTTGTTGTTTTATAATGTCAAGCAAGTGTGGTAAAGTTTTACAATCTAAATAACAAGTTTTTTAAATGTTAAGTGTCTTTCTAAGGTCATTGAAATACTTATTGGTCGTATGTTTCAAACTGAGTAGAGAGAACTTTTATTTGTTCCTCAGTTTTCAATAGTTGTTTAGCTGAAATCATTTCGTAATTTAAGTTATCCTTGATTTAATAATCATTCCCTAATGAGATTACCAATTCTACTTTACTCATTTCTCGGTTTGTTATGTTAAGTCCTGTCACTGCCTTCAACTGTGCCATCATTCGCTCATGCTAACAGTTGAAACAAAATATTTTCAAGTAACTATTTCACTGTATTATGTGCTTTCTAAAGTCGAAATTAGATTCAATATTTTTCGAAATTATTATGTGAATTTACTTCTCAATTATAAGTACTCATTTCCCTTACTAATCAACAATAACCTACAATTTATGATTATTCTTAGTTTATTAAGCTAATTCATTGATACCTGAATCCAGTAAATGAGTTGTGCAAAAGTACTAATACTGTATGAAATATCTAAGAAATATTTTTTAAGTTAGTTAATATTGGTTAGGGATAACATCATGATGCTCATCAGGTTGAAGTTATTACTACTTTGTAAAGATAATTTGTATAACGACCCAGTTGCAGTGTCATGAGGTAAAAATTAAACGGAACGTGTGTCCTGAATTCTACTGCTAGCTACTGCCAATCTGTTATTAAAGCGTGTGAATAAATTTCTATGTTGGGGCAATCCTTTGAGGGTATACATATGTGTCAACACGGACTGATCAACAGGAAAATACAAATCCCCGTAAATATGATTCAGTATGGTCTAAAGAAATTAGTTTTATTACTAAACTATCGATCGTTGCATAATAATGATAAAAATGAGTACATTCTAGTGAACAATACATTTTTGTTATTATCCATTCATTTTCAATAGTTTTAAATGAATTCATACCATTAATCAATAATTTTCTCTTTTATATCATTCGATAATTTTAAGGTTTCTAGTATGAATATTTGTTAGTCTGCTTTAACGCTTAGTACGATGGTGGAAATTTGATGGATTGCCGAATATTAAATATTGTTTATACAGATTAGGTTTACACAGAGGATATAGCCAAGTTATGACAGCCTACTAATCAACAATCTTGAATATTGTGAACAGAATTATAGATCATCACTTTTTTTACTCATTTAAATAAAGACATGTATCAACGAAAAATAAATTCGAAAAATTTACCTAATCAGAAGTCATTGTATACAGAAATAGTTGTTTGTGACAAATTTCGTTGAATTACTGGAATTTATCAATGATACTAAACCGTAACTATCAAAATTAGTTTATCAAGCCTACTTAGTTTACACCAAACATTATAGTTATTTTATAATGAGAAAGATTGAAATAGTCCGCAGCAAGTAGTATTTGTCTACAAATCTTCTTTTACTGATCTACACATTATTATTCTAAGTAATGGTTAGTTGAATGAAAGAAAATTATTTTACGAAGTAATTAACTATTTATACATTGAATAGTTCTCTTACTTTCATAATTTTCCAACTTATTGCTTTTTATCAATATAAAAATCCACGCCAGTTTGAGCACTGCATTATTTCATTGTTATGATATATTATCATATTATTTTTGTTAATCTGTTATCTTTTCACTTAGGCTCTGGTGCATGCAGTGATATTTTAGCTAAAGCACTAGCTGATTTCAAGCGTACACATCAACAGTTATCAGCCAATAATGAAATATCATCGTGTTGTTATGATTCTAATAGATCACATACACAAAATAATGATAATAATGATGACCATCATCTAGACAATAGTAGTATATTTTCATCACATATCCATCCTGGTGTGCAATTAGGACATAGTCGTCATCTTCATTCAGATTATCAACATAGTCACACAAATGATTATAATACTGATGGTATCGATGCCTATTTAGAGGTATCTCTCTATTTGTGTGTTCAGTTTGAGTTGATGTTGTGTTCCCAATTTTCGAAGTTAACATTAATCAAGCTTGTGTTTGATCTAGTTGAATCTGAATTTATTTTTGAGATTTTTAATCATTAGCTGATTGAAAGTGTTGATTTATAAAGAACATATGAGATGCCTAATAGATATTAACTTTTAGTCTATGCATACTGAATATAATGTTCTAAAAATCATAATTTTGATAAAAGAATCGTTTATAAATCCTCATCATATTAAAACACTAATGTATCCGCACAAGGAATATTCTTTTCAACAAATTCTCTTCGGGTTCTACAATTATGTATCCAGATTAATAATTCAAGAAGTGCCCAGATTTAAGGCAAAGCACATTGTTTTAAGTTATAACATGTGAATTTAGGATTGTTAATCAAAGTAGAATTTTCAATGTTGAGATGACTAATATGCTGTGTTAACTTGAATCAGCTTATACGTTAAATGAAATTCTGTGGTTTATAATCAAAATGAATATGGATCAGATTGTGTGAGAGGTATAATAGTGTAATTACAAAATCGATCAAATGTTTGTCGAAGACTATATTGTGTCAGAATTTGTCCACAGGTCGTTTAATGATTCAGGGTATAGGCATAATGTTTATGTGTTTATGTGTTCATGTAAACACTTGTTGATTAAAAATAATTGTTCTATGTATTATTGCTTTGTGTGTATATACGTGCAGTGTTTTATCAGTTGATAACTGTTTCTTTACTTTTTTTCAAGTTTGATGTTGTATGGATGTTATTTTAACTGTCGTTTTTCGTCTTCTAGTACTTTGTTTATTTGTTTTATGTGCTTCAAATAATATTGTTTGCTTAACCATACATGTTAGTTTGAATTGTCTGTCAAGATGAAAAAATAAGCTTTGTTTACGTCCCTAACCTTTTTACTTTTTTTGTTTCTTAGGATATCACCACTACCGAAGAACAAGAATTAAGGCGTAGAAATAATAGAAAACGTGATGTCAGGGTAAACTGATAAAAGACTTGTTGTGTATTTATTATTGTTATTAATAAGGGTTTTTAATATTCAGGACTGGATGTTGATCACTCTTTATTGGGAATATGAATTTCTTGTACAGATTCCCTTGATATAGTCATTTTGTCACAAGTTTTAGAAATTAAATAGATAGCAGCTAGTAAGTGAATCCATTCAAAGTTCATCAACTGAATTTAACTTATTAGATAACACGTTGAAGGTTCCAGATAAAATGTCCTGGATTCAATTTTCAATCTGAAAACTAACAATAAGGTCCAACTGCATTCAGCTGACAAGTCCTAAATAAGATATAACGTGTTTTATGGGTCTTATTGGTAGCCACAGTCCATCTATCCTGATTATTTCTGTTTTGTTTTATTGTTGAAAATCGGAACCAAAGTTTTTTTAATGTTTACTGTATATGTTATATTTCAGTTATTATTATTGCTATTATTATTATTATTATTATCAAATAATGATGCTCAGAATATTGTAGTGTAAAGAAAACTTGTAGTAATTTCGTTAGTCATAAATCAATTATTTCTATATTGCAGTTGATGACATAAGTTTGGATTATGTAACTGATTCTTCTTCGTACTTGTAAAGTTGCCGTGTATTATCTTTCAATGGTGATTCAATTTTGTGATATATCTCAAGTGATAAATAAGAATTGTTTGGACATATATACATCATAAATGGTTGTAATGAGAAAAGTAAAATTACTACATACTAAACTGAATTAACTAGTTTATTTATTTGCTTAAGATAAAATACTGCTTCGAAACTTCCTTTAAATATGAGTAGTCACAGTATTCAAATCTCATTTTTTTAATTGTAAAGTGAACGTTGGAATTAATCCAACTGTATTTGAAAATTGTAGAAACATGATACATTGTGTCAGTCACTGTGTATGATTAGCTAAAAGAAAACAATTCTAGTTGTCTTAACCGGAACACTTTATAAGAACTTTCGTCTAAATTTGAACGAGTAGTTCCACAGTAGTTGATCACGGAGTTAATGTAAGATATGGAGGAGAGAATCTAAAATTACAAATGATTTCAGAGATTGAACTTTAAAAATCTAACATTTCGCTTAGCAAACATTACCACAGATCTCACTTTTGACATGACTGATTAATTTAGTACGCGGTCTCACTAACAATCAAATTCCGTCTTGTATAATGCTTAGTATCATATAGTAAGTATGCATCTTCGGTTTATTTTAGAAATCTCGATTCGCTATCATTAACCTTATTCAACGAGCTATCACCCTTCTCAACCTGTTTGCAGCAAGTCAATTGGGTCAAGATCCTGATACATTGCTGACAAAATTCAACATGAATAAACATTCTCCTCATAAAGGTCAGAAATGTTGAATTTGTTTAACTTTATGTATAAATGTTCGTTAACACAGTTAATTGGCAAAAACATCAACTTACTGTGACTTTTACAAATTTAAGGTGATACATTCGCGTAATTTTTAAATAGATATTAATAATGGTTAGACAATGTATTAAATATTTGATAAATAATCATTCAATGCTTAGCCCGTTTTGATCTTTCCATAAAACCCTGATGATTTGTTTTGTTAGAGAACTTCTTGATATACAATTCAGTCGTCTACGTGCTAAAAGTCAAATAAGATATCGGTTGATATATTCAGTTCATCACTATGTTGAAAAGACTATCCAAAGTTAATTAAATATAATCTACTTGATGTTAAATAATTATCTTTCGGTAAATGTCGTACTGCGAAAAAATATTGTAATGTAATGACGTGGTGGTCATTATTTTTTAAGGACTTGTCAACATTTCAATTTTACAGAGAAAGTTATTTCGAAAAAGACATCTGAAGTTATGTTTTCAGGGTAGTATGTTCAAATAAATATAACTGACTTTGTATACCCGTTGAACAATTATATTTTAGCGCTCAAGTAAGGTAAGACAAATAATAGTCTACTTTCTGACCACTGTTTTAGCAAACTAATAGAAGTGTCTAATTCATGTTTATACATGAACGATAGTAAAACTGGTTCACATGTAGTTTAGTGATGATACACAAAGAAGGATGATTGATCTGTTCGTAACGGAACCTAACAAAAAGTGGCCATATCAGAGATCTGTAGTCTACATCACTAGTACTATCGACTTCATTTTCACACCTTTGTATGACATTATGTGTTTAAGCAGTGTTTTTGATATAATAGTTTACTAGCTTAAATGTAGTAAAACGAATAAGTGAGCAGTGTTTTGAATTTCTACACCATAAATTTGGATAAGCCATTTAGTTAGTAAAGTGGTACTGTTCACTGACAACCATCTCATACAAAAATTTAAGGTAATAGCTAGGATAGGTTTAGATTCGAAACGATTCTAGTCAAACAATAGAGTATTTAAGTTTAATCCGTTTACCTCTTTAGGTTTTAGACACCTTATCGATTCTGTGTTTCCAGTTTTGACGTGACGTTTCTGTTCATTTTAATATTTCTCAAATCCCGTCTACTTCATATTTACTTGGAGTTTGTAAATTCAAAGTATCAGTCGACGAGTTTCTCTGAGAAGTTTTACGTAGTTTTATCAGTCAGCTTGTCAGTAATTAACCCAGTTTTAGTGAATACTATTGGTTTCATATGAAGTAAAAAGTCAAAAAAAAACAGTCTTGATTTCGCAGTATGTATATGGATATGTTTTTCTAAAACAAACAAATATGAGTTTTAGTGCGAAGGTGATTTTTGTTCCATAGAAGGAGGAAAAACGGTATATTTAAAGTATCACGTAGATCTATAAAAAAGGCTCAAGCTGCCATTTCGAAAAAAATGTGCAAGAAAATAATAGTTACTTGCTAGTAGTATAATTAGATAACATAAATGTTATATTTATTGAGTGCTATTTTATGGTTTTTCTGGATATCTTGAAAAATAATTTCGCAATGAAAACTATCTTCCAAAAATGCCAAAATTACCAAACAAACTATCTCAACTATCATAAATCATATGATCAATAGTGAGTAGGTTTGAATTTTACAATTTTATTATTTCCAATAACATCGATTGGATTCAGATGTCAACAGGACATTTTTAGTGATCTGCCGTTTAATCGATACGTTATCATTATATGAAGATTAACCAGTCAATTGTCATTTTACGGAAGTGTCCATTATAGGTGGTAATCTACATATTCCCTCTTTCGAAATAAATCACTATACTACTGTCTCGGACATTTTGTTTATTTTCAGTTGACAAATCGAATTCATCTACCGTAGAGAAAGCCAAAACACAACACTGGGGAGCAATTCGAGCTCGTCTTGAAATTGCTATAAATATGGTTCAAGAAAAAGTGGTTACTCTTAACACTTATAAACTAGGTAAAACACCAGCAGTCAATTTATATTCTACATATCATACAATGCCAAATATGATTCACTCATGTACAACACAGTCGGAAACTCGTAATACAGTTCCATCTGGACGTGAAAGTCCAGATGGGAAAGCTAGTATGCCCGCATATGATAGTACAATTAGATCCTATGCATCACTACGTAAGGGTTTTAGTCAGAATGAAGTTCCCGGTACTCAAATTGCTTTACCTGTGCAGAATTTACATGATGCCAGTTTACGTGCATTGTTATATGGTGGAAGACCAGATAGAATATTTTCAAATCCAACTTTGTATAACGATAAAAATGAACTCACTTCATGCATAGAAGATATGGATGACACAGAAAGCAGCTCATGTGAAACATCAGAGGTTAGTGTATTTCCAGTGTTATCTTTGACAGTAAACTTTATTTAACTAAAAAGTGTAATGTAGGAAAAAGCAACAGCAGGTTGTTTTCTTGACTTGAATTGGTAGGAAAGGAGTTGTATAACCTCTATCTAGTTCTATTGTCGATTAGTTTATTTATATTATCAGTAGTACCGGTAACCTATTTACCGACTTACACGTCGACCAATCAACAATAACCAATGCGTTATTGGTCCTCAAGTTTATTCTATCCCAGTAGCCAGTCAGAAGACGAAGGTAGAAAGCGGATCACTTTTATTTCATTAAATTCAATATGACTCAAGTCCATAGAACAATATATGAAGCAAAATCTTGAACATACATTAACATAACTAATAAATTACAATAATCGCATAAGCATTCCATAAATGGAAGAGAACTGAATAACAGGTCCGAAATAAATTGAAAATAATGTAAGAAATGTACAACATATTAGAACAATTTATGTATCACGAAAATGCTTACAAGCATGGATAATGCATGACAAAGAAGGCAAGACAGTCACTGAGATTCAAGAACAGAGGAAATGACGGGCAGAACACTGAATAATTCACAAATATACCATCTCCACTGAGCCAGCCGGACATAGAAGCAGCACATACAGACCTTTCTATTGATGCCACTCCACCAACGACCGAAGAAATCAGGATGGCCATAAGACAAATCAAGAGTGCGAAAGTAGAAGGACCTGACAATATACCAGCCAAAGTCAGACATAGAAGCAACTGCAAACATGCTTCGCGTTCTATTGAGGAAAATTAAGAAGGAGGAACAAGTGCCGATGGACTAGAAAGAATGACACCTCATCAAGATACCAAAGAAAGGAGATCAGAGCAAGGATGAGAATTACAGAGGCATCACACTAATATCAGTACAAGCGAAAGTTTCCAACAGAGTGTTGCGGGACCAAATGAAAAACTTAGTCGACGTCCAACTGCGATATCAACAGACCTGATTCTGTAAGGATCGATCGTGCACAAACCAAATCGCGACACTACAGATCAACGTTGGACAATCAATTGAATGGGACTTGCCTCATCAACTTCCTTGACTTTGAGAAATCGTTTGACAGTGTGGATAGGAGATCTTTGTGGAAACTCCGTCGACACTATGGAGTGCCTGAGAAAATCGTCAACGTCATCCGGAATTCATGCGACGGACTACAGTGCAAAGTTGTGCATGGAGGACAACTGACAGATGCATTCGAATTAAGAACCGGAGTCATAAAAGGCTGCTCACTCTCCCTTTATCGTTCTTCTGGTAGTTGACTGGATTATGAAGACCTCAACACCGGAGGGGAAGCTCGAAATACAATGCACAGGTTGTATGCAACTGAACAATTTGCACTTCGTAGATGACCTGGCCCTTCTATACCATACAAACGAACAAATCCAGTTGACAACAAACAGTGTAGCAGCAGCCTCTGCATCAGTAGGCCACATACAGGAAAAAGTAAGACCCTCAAATACACCACGGAAAACACCGATCTATTCACACCTGATGGAGAAACTCTGGAAGAGGTGTAATCGTTTACGTACGTGGTCAGCATCACCGATGAACGTGGAGGATGTGATGCAAACGTAAAGGCGAGGATTGGCAAAGCGAGGGTTGCATTGCTACAATTGAAGAACATATGGAACTCGAAACAACTGTCAACCAACATCATAGTTTTAATCTTCAATATAAACTACTATAACCATAATGAAAAATGCACAAGTTTTTATAAACATGCTATATAGCAATGTTGCACTCTTAGAATTTGAGGCTTTATATACGATACTTGAGTTATAGCGCTAGATATCATGATTGTCTTTGATATACTGTGGTAAAATTTACAAATCTTCTCACAAACATTAAATTACAGTTGGTCTTAATTATCTAGAATTGCTGGAATTTTCTCAAACGGCTCAAAATTTAGTTGTGCACTTTTATATACCATTTCACTAGCTTTAGCTTCAGTGATCAGTAGCATATTAAGCATTTTATGCTAATCAAATCCAGCAAAAGGGAGAGATAATATAGCTTACAGACTACATGTTATGCTTATTTAGTTGAGACCCTATTTGTCGGGATTGTAGTAGAAGTAGGAAACATAATGGGCTGCGTGCAAGTGAAAAAGTTTTGGAATGAGCTAAAAGCCACAGTTGTACGGTAAACATAAGTCTTTCACTTCAAGCGAGTACAAGGACTCTCGAACCTCTTACGAATGGGCAACAGAAGACCATCTCAATCACTCATATACATGAGATAAGTGATTAGTTCATACAAACTGAGTGAAGCGGTACTTAAACGGATATTATTTTCATCATCGTCACATTATGTGCAGTACATCAATAATCTATACGCGAAATCTATCGAACTACACAGATAAAACGATGGACGTATATAGAGGTGATACATATGGTTCGACCAACATGGTACAGGAAATACACCTGATTAACCCACGATTCACTTTTATGGCTACTACAGAGAGCCATAACCTCATTACAGGTAATAGCGTCCCACTTTGTTCTTATTGTATAGCATCTGATTGAGTCAGACTATTCAAATTTTAAAACATGCCAAAACTACACTCATTGATTTATTGTGACGTACTTTTCCTCGTCCTTTATTGAATATAATAGTCAGAATTATTGGTAAAATAGCTGAAGGGTTATATTATTAAAGAATACGTAGATATCATATTATTTTGCATGGACATACTAAACCTGAAACTTTGATACTCAATATTAGGCATTTTTAGAATTACTGCCAGTTGTTTGTAAGAGGAATACAAGAAGCTGGACGCAAGTCAACGGTACTGTAATTCTGAATTTACTGTGTAAACCACTATCATCTGTGTGACAGTGCTCATGTATACAGCCTAATATATTGAAGAAATTCAAAAATCCGTTTCAAAAAGTGTTCGTAGTCATTCGAGATATTTTTGTTACTCAATCACATTTTGTTTGTGAATCAGTCCTACTCTGTTATTCAGTCATTTGAATTAAAGATTGAGCTAACCTAAGTGTGTGCGTATATATGTGCTATGCTGATAAATGTTTTCAGTAAATGATTTCATGTCAATTCCATTACATGGTGCAAATTTTTAATTTTTATTCTAAAGTGGTAAATATTTTATTGAATCCAATTTACAATAAAAATAAAATTATTAATTTTATAAAGACCGAACAGTTCTCACTTTATATAACTTTATAAAACTTATGTATAACTTGATCTCTTATTACTTTTAAACATGAGTATTCTAACTTGTCATATTTTAAACCACAAATTATTGCATGAATAGAATGACAACTAACGTCTAAACAAATAAAATGTATTGAAAAAGTAGTTTATCTTTTTCTCTTACTATTTTATGTTCCTTTATTAATGTAAATCATGTTTAATTTAACTGGTGAACAAATTTTGTTGACTTCTATCATGTCTGAAATTTTTCATTGTGCTTTCAACTCTGTATGTATTCTACATTTTAACACGATAATAAATGAACATAATTGAACCACAGATCAAATGCTTATGTTTTCTAGCATATTACTGTATGTTAGATTAAGGCTAACACTACTTTTTTTCAGATGGAATCTCTTTCCTAAATATTGTTTGAAGGTTTTTTATTATATTACTTTATGATTTATAATATTACACAAAAAATTATTTTACTGTCTGCAATTTTTTTATTAACTGTACTCAAGTTTCTGTATACTGAAGCTGAACGCTCTGTGGTGCATGTTGTACGTCGATACTTCTGTCCCGCTTTACGTGATCTTATCGAACATGGTCTTATAAAGAAAGCTTTACAGAAAATTGATGAAAATTCACCATTGGGCTTAGCAAATAAACGAAGCATTTTACTGCTTCGTCCTATCCTGAACTGTTTAGACTCAAGATCAAGAAATCACTCAGAAGATAAATTTGAATGTTTAGATTTGAACGATCCATCAAGTGATTACATTTCAAACTCTTTTTCGGGGTCCGGTTCTAATTATATAGGAATCCATGCGTGGGATGTATTAATGCGTTTTTATCAAATTAAGGTGAGTGAAATCAAAATAGAGTCCAATATTTTCACATTTCAATTCCATTTTTAAGATAGACTATGTCTAAATATTCACATAAAACTTAAGTTTAAGCTAATAAAATACTGAATATTTGTGTCTCATTAGCACGTTTGTGTCTTTATTCACTTGATCTCTACGTTATTTCAGTTTACTGACAGGTTCATGGTTCGATTTAATTTAAGTCAGTTAACTATTAGGTTTTCATTGCAAGCATGCCTATAGAATGCTGGACTTCTCACTCTGAAGAAGTCCAGACAAGTTTTCTGGACGAAACGTTGGGATTATTTAAAATATAACTTTCATACATTAATTCTGTTATTTTACTGTAAATTATAATTTTGATGACTTGATTGTTAAGAAATGACTGTATTATATTTTTGTTTGAAATTATTGAAAGTTATGTTTTCTGACTAATAGAATAATTTGACCCTAGACGTAATTAGTATCTAGAAATTTATTCACCGCTGTTTTTCATCAATTCACTCAATACCTTTGCTGTTACTAATTTCATAAAGTAATTTGTATGATAAGTGATGTTACGGAAGCTATACTCACCTTATTATTCTACTACTCCATACCTTAATAAGATTATCTACCTCATGGTTTTATGGAGTTTCTTAAAGAGCACGATAGCCTTTCAAAGGCTTTCTCTTCAGTATCGTAGAACTGTTTCTAAAAACAGTATGCTCACAGGTATCAAGTGGATATTTGTCAGATTACTATAATCCACTTGGAATTATAGAAGTGATAATGAAAATTTTTGGATTAAATTAGAATGAATTCCTTACAGTTTCGATCTATTTACTAGGGACATTTAGAGAAATTATCACATCAGAAAAATATTTCTTCACTAGAAAAAGCTATAATTATATGAAATTTTCTATTTAGTAAAATTACTATCTTAGCTATAGGTCAACGTAACAACTAACTAACACAATGAATAATCTAAAACCGGAAAAGAATAACAAATTTGTGAAAAAAAAGAAAAATGGTTATCTAATTAAGAATCCGTTTAAAAGGTAAGAAATGTCAAAATAGTTCTTGATAACTGTCCACTTTATTTAAACACATAACGTACAGTTAAAATTTATTAAATTATAGTGTTTGTCACTATAGAATAATGTCTCAACCTACACTTGTAACATTTTCAGTCCAATTCAATCGGATACAAATACCTGAATGTCTTAATTATAATCTATTATGTATTGATTTATATTGAATTAAATCTGTTCTGTTTTAGAATGGTCCACGGTATAATGAATCTCCGGCGAGAAAACTTTGTGAAAGTTTTGATTTAGATACAGTTGATGGTAAAACAATCACAAATCGTCAGGTAACTAGCCAATACAAATGTTTAATCTTTTCGAATCATAAACTAAATTAAGGAGTCTTAGGAAGAAAGAAGTGGTTTTTTGCTGAAAAAATCAGACTTGAAAGGAGTATTTTAAAATAACCTTTGATTAATATCTTTCGTTTATTTTAAAACAACAGTTTTGCAGCATACATATCGTGACCAATTGTTAAAATCAATGTCTAATGTATTATATACGTGCCTACCATTGGAAATACTAATTTACTACACATAGTAAATTGTGCACTAAAAACGCCAATAATAATGTGGTGGTAGATTTCTAGAGATTCAGATACTTTTTCTAATTAAAAATCTGGTAACAATAAACCTTGAATAAGATTCTTTGACTATCTGTCAACAAAATAACTAACGCCGTTAGCATTATTATTCATTGTTATGTGTCCTATCTAAATGTCTTTCCACATTCTTTGTTCTCTTCAACTCTATCAGCACAGCAAACGAAAGTATCAGTTTGACTTTCGTAAATCAGTTGATTAATCTTTGATCCTGATGAATTAGTCTTGCATATTCTAAATTTGTTTGACCCTTTTTTCCATGAAAGTAATCAAATCATTTATAAGTAATAAATAGTTTAGTGGAAAATCTCGATCAACAACGCAAACGTTTACGAGTAGAGTGTTTTGAATGTGTAAAAATACCTAAAATTATCGTAGTGTTTTTCCTCTACTGACAGTCGAGGTTAGTATGTAAAGGGATTACATTATTTGTTCATTCAACCACTTAAACAAAAACTAATAAATTATAAATTAACTTTATTTTGGTTTTTTAAAGTCTTCAAGATGGACAATACAATCTACTTGTATCTAATTTTACTTGGATATATATATATAACCTATATGATACATTATTTAACAGCAAATACGGTCTACTTCATCTGGCTTCTATATATATAAACATCGAGTTATCCATAAACAGGTTTTTATCTTACATTTTAACATTTTTCACTCTCTTAAACTGTATCGCTACACTCCAGATTAAATTTATGTAATTTACTGATAGAAAACCAAATATACACAAATAACTGATTCACTAATCATTGTATTGGTGATTTATTCATCTAACCAGATTAATTATTGTAATTTAGTAGTTTAGTCTATCATGTATGCAAAAAATGCATGACTATATGAATAAATGAAGTCTGTTTTGTGAAAAAAGACGGTTGTCTAATTGGCTTATCTTTAGAGGAATTGAATAAAATTAAATTAGGTACAATCAGCATAGAATATATCAAATAGATATTCAGCTACACTTTATAAGTAATACTATTAAACAAATATTTTAAATTAATATTATAAAATAACTATTCTCGAGCAACAAAATAAGAAACCAATCTTATAAAGTAAAAAACTACAATTAATACAATGTTTTTCACAACTTCAGTGATATTCGAAGGCCATAAGTCGATTTATGTAGAGTGGATAACAAGTTAAATGACATGATGGGATGTTAGCAGACATTGTACACAAAAATTAACGCTTATTTAACAGCTTCTTAAAAAGTGTATTGATGTTAAATTCTCACTGTACTAGTTGGAATCTCATTAGAATTATGCATGTCGTTGAAGTTGCAACTAATAATTAATCAATAAGTATTATCAAGGATGAAATCATGGTGAATAACTTTCTATAGAGCACCTTCAACAACGATTGTCAAATGTAAGAACTTCAAGTAAGTCAATAAAACAATATTCGCACATAGTCATTCTGACAGTTAAATTTTGAACAGAGAATTTCTCATCAAAATTGTTCATATCAAGGCTAATCTATTGTTCAGTTAGATTTCCAACATTCAACAGACATTTATGGATTTAGAAAGATTGAAATTATTTACTTGGCAACGTGTAGAGTCGTATGTACATTTGTTTGTATCATTAAACCCTATAATTGATCAGTTGGATTAATGTATGTACTTAAATGTTTGGAGAGTTCTACTAAAAACGTTTACTTTATATCTACTAAGCTAGATGAAACAACATTGTGGTAGGGTCTATTCAATGAGATGTGGTAATTAGAAGAAGCTGATAGTTCAAAATTCAATGACTTTATTGACTTCAGTTGATCAATCGACAATTTTTCGCAATATAATTATTCATTGAATACGTTTACTGATTGTTCCATTTATTAACCATACGGCTAAATAATATTTAATAAAAATTACTAAAGAATAAATATGTATATTTTTTTAATTATTAATTGTTCTTTAAACATTTAATTTCAACTAGTCAAAATTTAGCAGATCATGTTTGGTTATTGTGGTTTACTTTAGAAATTTTTCGGTGCAATGGGTAATGTTCTTCAGGGTCACGTGGCATACAAACGCAGTAAGGATGCCAAGTTCAAAGCATTCATTTGTATTGCACTTAAGTAAGTATATTTACTTAGAGGTCTTTTTAAAAAGTTTTAATAATACGTGTCGGAACGTTTTACATAACCGTTTTTGATTGATGTATATTTGTAACAAGCATTTTGCTATTTATGACCGACTCATACTATTATATGCATAATCTATTTGGAAAACCTTATTTATCTTCCATTATTTCTATTTTTAAGACATGAATATTATTTTTCATTTGGTTGTAAATTCTCACAAACTTCTAAAATACTGATTGACAATAGTTATTAGTATTTTCTGTTCTAAGATGATCTTGATTTCAACTGAATATTAAAAAAAAAATTTATTCATTATCAACAATTTTGATTGTACAAAATCTTGTTATTCAGTCGGTTATCAAAGAGATTGTTTTTTTTCACTGTTTGACAAAAGACTGTCTACATAAACTTTCCAACCAACCAACAATCAAACTCTGCTAGCCATTTTACATTTAAACTCAATTATAAAGTCAAAAATATTGAAAAAATTTAATACTGATTAAATCTTGGTAATGCAAATGGATTTTACATTAACCGATGATATGGAGTAGAATCAAATAGGTCATGTAACGAAAGTGGATACGCGAAAATGTCTTACCTTGATCTATTGTTCGTGGCTTTTCTGTACAGAAATCTAAAATTTATTTCATTACAATTACTAATCAGCGACAATGAATAACTAAAGTCCCAAATAACTATAATTTATGGAATACAACTATTTCTATTGACTAGGCGTTGTAACTTTTCAGACAGTGTGATGTAATGATTATAATAATAGTTTAGCTTTCCGTTTAAGAACTAAACTACCTTAATGGTGATTAAAGCATCTAAGAAGGATTATGTTAAAGTATTTGATGTGCTTGAATATCTGGAGTACCTATTTCTACCATCTAGATATTTCAAAAGTTATCTTTTCTGTTATTTTTAGCACACCCCATACGTCTTTTAACCACACAGCCCATCAAGGCTCGTATATAAAACGTTTACGACCAATCGTCTTACACACCACCCAAAACACTGGAACAAATACAATTAAGTTTATGTTACCAACATTGACGTGACTCCTTACTTCAGATCAACTACACTATCTGTTTTTTATTGATGTATTCACCAAATTTGTCGTAACTGCCTTCAGTGGTTCACTTTGAACTACATAGGGTGGTTGTAATTCATCCGGTTTTAGCTTTCTTTCATCGCTAGATCACCAAAATGTAGTAGATTTTCTTACTCGTTCGGTTGTTCATTATAGATGATGATGTAGAAATATATATATGACTCGTAACATGTCCTATTGTTTAGCTCTGATCATTGTATTATTCGTGTTCCACCTAAATTATATGACAAGCTTAGAAAAAGCACCATCTTATATCTGATAAAGAAAGTTAAATACAGGAATTACTCAGAAGATAATATTCAAGATCTGAAAAACATGTTTCGTACGACAAACCTTAATTATTTACAAATGACTAATCGGAAAACACCATATTTCAATTTTCACTGAAACTTATGTTCGAAAATGTCCCTAATTACTTTACTCGTCTAGATGTTTAGGACCTGACGAAATCCCAAACCTTCTTTTTAAGAGATGTGTTGACCTTCTGTGCTATCCATTCACAAGCATGTTTAACGAATCTGTCCTAACTAATTTTCTACCGAAAATACAGAGAAAGTTAAAGATAATCCCAACACCAAATAAAATATCTAGCGATAAGAATTTAAAATTTAGACCCGTAGCATTAACTTCACCTCTTCTCAAAACTGTAAAAAAACTATTGCTACTCTAATCTCAACCTGCATTCAAAGAGCATATTGATCCATATTAGTTTCCTTGCGTGTGCAAAATAAGTACCTTAGATTCTGTTGTTCTGCATCATAATGTAGTGTTCAGCTAGGGAAAGGTTAAGAAGTATATTTGTTGGGTCTTTCTAGATTGTACTTCTGCCTCTGGTTCTATTCCAAGACTGCTACTACTTAACAAGTTTATCAGCCTCAACACCGACAGCTGAATAACAAACTGAATGTGTTCTTTCCTCTCTGTAGGAAAACAGTATACATCTTTTGGAGGGAAGTGTTCAAAGTCTTTATTAAGTCAAGAAGGTGTGCCACAACGAGCTGTTCTTTCCCTTTTTCGTCCTTCTTTTTTTTCTGCATGATGTGCCAACTTCCACAGAAAACACTTTTGCCAAGTATGCGGATGGTTTTATTGTATGTATACCGATTTCTACCTCTTCACATCCCCTTAAAATGGATGAGTTCATGTCCCGTATTGAATGGTGTTCTATTGTTAATAGTCTCACATTTAGCCCCACTAAATGTCAAAACGTTAACTTTAGCCTGAGACATGAAATGCATCTAAACACCCTGTTGGGATCCCATAAGGCTTTTGTCATTAGAGATTCCTTGATAAACACAGTGTCAACAGTCATTTACCTTAGTGTAATTATTTCTTCTGATCTCTCTTTGTCTTCTCATGTTTTCTGATATCGAAGAACGTTTTCCATCCGACCTACTACACAAAGAGGCTGCATGCTTTTGGGATTACTTGGCATTTCCTGGGCTTTTGAGAGAAAACTTTGCTGCATTGCGGAGAGTGCTGAAGGCGGTTAGCAGGGTGTTTAGTGAATCTTTTGAGGTCACTATGAATAAGCTTGTGGATAGACATTTAAAATTTTCCAAATTCCCGAGAAGTGTAATCTTATCAAATACTAACCATCCACTTCATTCACATATTTTTTAGTCGTTTGACAACTGGGCAGCGTCTCTTCACTGGCTGTTAAGTTCCCTCAAGGTCGTTAATATTAGTATACTGTCATAATATTTTGTTCTAATAATTAAATGTATTTGTCAACTATAAAGTCGGAAAAACTCATTTCTAATAATTTCATTTTCAATTAGTTTATAATATGAAGAGAAATACTTTGCATTTGCAGTAAGTACTGTACATACGTCATTAATTATTTCTTTAGAAAAGTTTAACAGTATAGTTTATCTTCCCTGTGACCAAGCATCAGTGATATATATAGTAGTGAATACTAACTAAACTTAGTAAGATTAGTCAAACTGATTTGCTCTCTTAGTCGTTTTTATTAATTGTGTATAGTACTGTCCTGTTAGAACCCTTTATCATTGAGTCTTCATAAAGAAAAGTATCAAGTTCATTTCCTATTACTTAGTTGTAAATAATCAACTGGAATAAGTGTAAAATCACCACACAATATCGTTGAATCGATTGACAACACAAATTGTTATGGATATTTGCTATCTCTCAAACAGAATGGCTAAAAGTGCCCGAACAAAATATAATGCGATTAATTTGCGTAAACTATGAGCAGACAAATAAGATGTAAAATCGGTAATTCATATCAAGTTGTGGGCTAATATTAATTATATTTAGATACATTTTTGGGTACGCAAGCAAGTCGAAATGATTGCCCACATATATTGGCATTATCTTGTTGAAACATTCAAGCTACAGATCTTCACAGACAAATAAACTCACACCATTAATAATAGGTCAGTTAGTTTGCATAAATAATTCCTTTCATTTCGAATAGAAAAAAATATCACCCAGTCACAGTTAAAACACCGATGTCCTTAACTAAAAAAACCATTCAATCGTGGTCAATACTTAATTAACCACGCCAGCATTATTTATACACTCTTCAAGAAGACCCAATATTTTTTTTCAACTTTGTATTAGATTACAGATAAACGAACAAACGAGAACTATATAAGGCCTATCATAAGTGTTAATCGGGTCGAAACGTTATATTACTAGTACAATACCCAAGGTCATGGAAGTATTTGACATGGAAAGTGTACACGTAGTTCCCTCTGTTACACTGAAAAGAGCGAACATAAATTAAGCTGAATAAAATTGATTCATTTTATGTTATTAGGTTCTCATTCACTACAAATGACCTATAATATTTCCCTACCAAAACTATAAGGTGAGTTAAAAACTTGTTAGGTAGTTCATGTAAACATAAATCCAACCAAATTTCTTTCTGTAAATATTTTTAACTTGCTCTGTAACCTAGTTTTTAAATGTTACAAATTGCAAGTAGTTGATAAGAGCCCGATACAAAAGCTTCATGTTTTTGTATACTAGAAAACTCTCACTTTGCTATATACATTTAAACAGTTCAACCAGTTTTTTGACATCAAGGATCGTTTTCAGTTGCGAGGCCACCACAAATTGAGCACATGTATATGACAACATGGTCTATTCATGGAATATGAAACGCTTATAATGAAATATTGATATACTGTACTATCCATCCTCTTGATGTCCACCAAAATTACAATATATCAGGAGACTCCTAAAGCCTTGATAAACGATCATTAAGGACCAGCATCTACGCCATTAGTAGTTAGTCATACATTTAGCTGATATGTAGAAGCGAATGCAGATTTATCTTTAGTTGGTTTTCACTAATTATCTTCCTTACCTTTTTCCTAATGATCAGCAACTTATGGTAGTAATATTCACTGAATCTCATTATGATACCATCATTAATTCTAGCAGTCAAATCACTTTCAAATGAGTTAATCCACCAATCACTACTCACCTAAGTCTGCTATGGTATAGAGAAGCCAATGTCAAATTCTGAATGTCCCATAAATTTGTTTGAACATCATTGTAAAATATTTGTTCTTATATTATATAGAACCTGTTTTATTTACCTTAAGTGAAGGAAAATTGATCCCTTGGCTAAGAATGATCTTTCGGAATCATGTTTTTGTTCAATCTGTATATGAACCATGGAGTTATACTTTGAGTACAGGTAACCGAGTTTTTTAATTGTTTTATTTTTATAATCGTTGTAATTATTAGTTCCCTTTTTATGAAATACTTTCGATCAAAATTTAAGGATTTCATCACTAAAATTTTACTTCATGATTTCAAATTGATTAATAGAAATGGTGTATCTATAGTATTTTAACAAGTAGAAAAATGGATTTCTAAAGAGTGGCAACAACGCCTAGATTTCATGAAGTTTAAACAAACTGAGAATGATAATCCTTGCAGTACAATGAATTGGCTTGAACTGCATTCACAGCTCTAGAATATTTAGGATAGTTTTACCATTCAGTACCACAAAAATCCAGGAGGTTTAAAAAGAGAAAGACATTTAGTTCATCTTACTGGGTTGTGGCTATAATTAAATGAAGAATTAAAAATGAGAAAGATTAAAAAGTTCGTTTATTACATTGCTCGCTTCTGTTATCAATGGATTTAGACGTTAGTTAATAATATTTCTAAATACGAAGATCAAATCTCGTCACAGTGGATTTCGAGAATTTTTATTAAAATCCAGAAGTATAGTGTTTGTTGATCTCTGTGAATGGATTCGTTCCATATACTTTGAACTTCGTACCAAGCAGGTTACTGAACTAGGAAGACTGTCTTTTCTTTACTGAATTAGGCTTGTGATACAGAGACCAGCTTTTCTTTTATTCAAAGCTTTTCCTGTTGTTCAGTTCTCCATTTTATCCAAACTATGATTTAAAACTATTAGATATTTTTGTCTTTAAGTAAACAGATAACATGGAAACATTTCTTTAAGAGTTGAGAAATGGTACTTTTTTAGGGGATCTGTCATGGTAACCACTGAACCATTACCACTATTTCAGTGATTGGTTTGATCAGAACCAATTATTGTGAATAAGAAGTTTACTAAGTTGAACAACGTATCCTTACAAATATATTGAGTTATTTTCTCGGAGGTCTTTGACGAAAGACATCATTTCCTACTTTTATTTTCCTATTTATTTGTAAAATTTTCTTTGACCAGTTACACAGTATATGAAAGATCGGCAAAACTGTTGTACTAAACTTTATCATGGTAACTTTACGTTTTCCGTCATTATTCTACTCATAAGCCGGAATATGTTAAAAATTCCTGAATGACTATTCTCTTTTCACACCATCCAATATGTAGTCACCCTCATTTTATCCATAAATAGGTGATTATATTTCAGTATGCATTTTTGAATTCCATTTCAGGTCATTTTAAATTGTATTTAAACTAATAACACCATACATAGTCAAAAAGACTATAAATGGTAAACCAAGTAACATAAAAACTGACAAATCATATACATATAAACTTTTTAAAACATTCACTAAAAGTTTTCTGTTGAGTCAACAGAAATGCTGGTAATACGTTTATATATTAATCAATTATTTCAGTGAATACTAAAATTAAGATATAGATGTTACAAGTCTCAGTGATGTCCACGTGGGTATATTAATGTCCTGTGATATTCCAAATTAATCTTTTCAAGTACGACGAGAAATTAAGTTAGTTGATAATACATAGACAGAGTATGTGTCTATAATCAGTGACAACTTGATTATTAAAATAATAGAATGTCCTTTGCTAACTTACTTACTTACTTACTTACGCCTGTTACTCCTCGTGAAGGAGCATAGGCCGCTCACCAGCATTCTCCATCCAACCCTGTCCTGGGCAATCCTTTCTAGCTCCGTCCAGTTGTAATTCATCGTTTTCATATCTGCTTCTATTATCCGACGCAATGTGTTCTTTGGCCTTCCTCTTTTTCGCTTCCCTTCAGGATTCCAAGTTAGGGCTTGCCTCGTGATGCAGTTTGACGATTTGCGTAATGTATGTCCTATCCATTTCCATCGTCTTTTCCTAATTTCTTCTTCAGCTGGAAGTTGGTTTGTTCTCTCCCACAGAAGGCTGTTGCTGATGGTATCCGGCCAATGGATGTTGAGTATCTTGCGAAGACAGCTATTTATAAATACTTGTACTTTCTTGATTGTGGTTGTTGTAGTTCTCCAAGTTTCAGCTCCATACAGTAGAACTGCCTTGACGTTCGTATTGAAGATTCTCACTTTGATATTGGTTGAAAGTTGCTTTGAGTTCCATATGTTCTTCAATTGTAGGAATGCGACCCTTGCTTTGCCGATCCTCGCCTTTACGTCTGCATCTGAGCCTCCTTGTTCATCGATGATGCTTCCCAGATATGTGAAGGATTCTACATCTTCCAGAGTTTCGCCATCAAGAGTGATTGGATTGCTGTTTTCCGCTTTGAATTTGAGGACCTTAGTTTTCCCTTTGTGTATGCTGAGGCCTACTGATGCAGAGACTGCTGCTACATTGGCTGTCTTCATCTGCATCTGTTCGTGTGTACGTGATAGGAGGGCTAGGTCATCTGCGAAGTCCAAATCGTCTAATTGGTTCTGAGCTGTCCATTGTATTCCGTATTTTCCTTCAGATGTTGAGGTCTTCATAATCCAGTCGACTACCAGAAGAAAGAAGAAGGCAGAGAATAGACAGCCTTGTCTGACTCCGGTTCTTGCTTGGAATGCATCTGTCAGCTGTCCTCCATGCACTACTTTGCACTGTAGTCCGTCGTATGAGTTCCGGATAATATTGACAATCTTCTCAGGAACTCCGTAGTGTCGAAGAAGTTTCCATAATGTCTTCCTATCTACACTGTCGAATGCCTTTTCATAATCAATGAAGTTGATGTATAGTGATGAGTTCCACTCAACTGATTGTTCGACGATGATCAGTAGTGTTGCAATTTGGTCTGTGCTCGACCGATCCTTACGGAATCCAGCTTGTTGATCTCGAAGTTGGGCGTCTACTGCATCCTTCATCCGGTTCAGCAACAATCTGTTGAAGACTTTCCCTGGTATTGACAGTAGTGTTATGCCTCTGTAGTTTTCACATTTGCTCAGATCTCCTTTCTTTGGAATCTTGACGAGGTGTCCTTCTTTCCAGTCCATCGGCACTTGTTCCTCCTCCCAAATCTTTTTGAATAGAAGATAAAGCATGCTTGTGGTTGCTTCGATGTCTGATTTCAGTGCTTCAGCTGGTATGTTGTCGGGTCCCGCTGCTTTCCCGGTCTTGATTTGTCTGACGGCCATTCTAATTTCTTCCGTAGTTGGTGGATTGACATCTATAGGAAGATCTGTGTGTGCTGCTTCGATGTTCGGTGGATTCATTGGAGCCGGTCTATTCAGGAGCTCTTCGAAGTATTCTACCCATCTGTTACGCTGTTGTTGAATTTCGGTGATTTTCCTGCCTTCTTTGTCTTTGACCGGCCTCTCTGGTTTACTGTATTTCCCTGATAGTTTCTTCGTTGTATCGTAAAGCTGTTTCATATTTCCTTCTCTAGCAGCTTTTTCTGCCGTCGTTGCTAGTTCTTCCACGTATTTCTTCTTGTCGGCTCTAATGCTCCTCTTCACTTGTTTGTTTGCTTCTATGTATTCAGCTTGTGCTTGGACTTTCTCTGCTCGTGTTCGGCTGTTGTTTATTACTGCCTTCTTGTTCTTCCTTTCTTTGATCTTGTCCAGTGTTTCTGTAGAGATCCATTCCTTATGATGGTATTTCTTTAGACCGAGAACCTCTTGACACGTTGAAGTTAATGCTTCCTTGATGCCTTTCCAGTTGTCCTCCATAGTAGTTTCTTCTTCTTTCAGTAGATCTTGTAAGGCTTGGAACCTGTTGTTGAGAGCTATCTTGAATTCATTGAGTTTGACAGTATCTCGAAGGAAGGCTGTATTGAACCTTTGTATTGCTGTTTGTCCACTTGTCCAGTTCTTTTTTAGCTTCAGTTTCAAATTGGCTACAACTAGGTGGTGATCTGAAGCTACGTCAGCACCTCTCCTGGTTCTCACATCTTCCATTGTCCTTCGGAATTTTTTGTTGATGCAAATATGATCTATTTGGTTCTCTGTAGTGTGGTCCGGTGAGATCCATGTAGCCTTGTGTATACGCTTGTGTGGAAATATTGTGCCTCCTATGACCAATTTGTTGAATGCACATAGATTTGCAAATCTTTCTCCATTTTCGTTTCTTTCTCCCAGTCCATGTCGTCCCATGATATCTTCATATCCAGTGTTGTCTATTCCGACTTTGGCATTTAGATCTCCCATCAGAATAGTTAGGTCCTTTCTTGGGCATTTCTCAATGATTGACTGCAGCCGCTCGTAGAACTGATCTTTAATTTCGTCGTTGCTATCATTGGTGGGTGCATAACATTGGATAATATTCATTAAGATCCCCTCCTTCTTTGTTTTGAATGATGCTTTGATGATTCTGGATCCGTGAGATTCCCATCCTACAAGTGCATTTCGTGCTACTTTGGACAGCATAAGAGCGACTCCCTGAGTGTGTGGAGCATTGTCCTCTTCGTGACCGGAGTATAGCAGCATCTCTCCCGTAGCTAGCCTTTTCTGTCCAGTTTGGGTCCAGTGGGTTTCGCTGATTCCCAGTACTGCTAAGTTGTATCTCCTCATTTCCATTGATATTTGACTGGTCTTCCCGGTTTCCCACATTGTTCGAACGTTCCATGTACCTATAAGAATTTTTGCTCTGGTTGTTAGAAGGGGCATCGGCCTCGTGGCTTCCGAAGGAACTCGGCTTTCACCATGAAGCGTCATAATTCTTCTAAATGAAGACCTTCTAACTCCCAGGGCAGAGTTAAAATGGTTTGGATTATTTTTTCTGGTAAGCGTTTTTTTAGCGAGTTAGTTTTCTACGGGATGGGGACGCTAACCCCATGCCCAACCCTCCTCCTTTACCCGGGCTTTGGACCGGCAGCAACCCTATAAGAGCTACAGGCGGAGTTGTCCTTTGCTAAGGACTAGTAAAAAACCACTGTCACAGGTTTAATGCATCATGTATCTGAAGGAAAAAATAATTCTACTGATATCATAGAAATCTTTAAAACTAGAGTCTATTATAAGATAAATACAAATAAAATACAGCATCTCAGGCTACACCATTAGATGGCATAGGCCCAT